AGCTCCGACCGCATGGACAGTTTTCACGAGCTTGTTATTCATATCGTCCACTGCATTGCAATCTTCTAGGCACTGAAAGCGGTTACGTAACTCGAGCTGAGCACGAGGGGGACCGAGCGTTGACTTCATTAGACGAGACCTCTCCAACTTAACGTTTAGGTTCAGTGTGCCTCTAACCATTCGGTGATAGCTGCCGGTTTTCACACTTGCGATCACTGAGACTTCACTGAACAGTTTTGGAGGTTTTGGGAATGCATGGCTCTAGATATATCCTCATACATTTCCTCCACCTCCTCATCGGGATGTGCTGAGGTTGGTGCGTAGACCTGTATGACCTTCAGCGGATACCGTTTGGTGATTCTGAGTATCAGGTACGCGACCCTCGTCGACACACTCCCAATCTTTATAACGTTGTTGACTAGAGACTTGTGGACGATAAATCCGACACCTCCTTGGGACAGATGGTCGCCCTCCCGGTGATAGAACAAGTTGCCGGACTCGAGGATTACCGTGTCCTCCCCCTCTCTTCGGACCTCAGATAATCCAATAATATGCCAGCGCAACTTGTCTACTTCTTCTTCCAGCTCCAGTATCTTCTCGTCAGTCCTCAGGGTGCGTGCTTTATACGTTGCCAGGTCGAGTCGTCGTAGGTGGCAACCGAACCTCCACCGGAGATTCTTAGCACCCCCTGCCCCGCCGTTACCATGGTCGCCATAGTAGCCAGGAATAGCGGGGCCGCCGGGGACTGGGGGCCGTTTATTTGCGTCGTTGCTCATGGGGGGATATTTGCCATAGTTGCCACGCTTGGCGAGCGTGTTGGCAACCGCAGTTTTTTATTATGTTATTGTTGTTATTAGGAAGATGCTGCTGCCCATCTCCTTTCTGTGTCCCTCTGTCGCCTCTTACGACACCCACGGGAAGATATGGGGTAGTGGATATTCTCAACCGCCACTACACGGCTAACACGGATTCAAATCGGCTGGCCAGCATTCGTAGCAGCACACATCTCGTCAGGTATACCTCAATCTCTGAAAACTAAAGTGAACAACCAGTGCGTGTTGCCAGTGATGACTTACGGATCAGAGACGTGGTCCTTCACTGCTGGCCGTATGAGGACGCTCAAGCGAGCTATGGAGAGGGCTATGCTCGGAGTTTCTCTGCGTGATAGATTCAGAAATGAGGATATCCGCAGTAAAACCAGAGTGACCGACATAGCCCAGCGGATTAGTAAGCTGAAGTGGCAATGGGCCTGTAGCGGCGCTGTCGTCGCCGCCACAAGCGAAAACACACCGAAGCCTAAATCGCGCTATCAACATTCCGAATCATAAACAGTATATATAGAACATCTCCGAATTATCACATGGAGTGCTGGCCGCTCCCCGGACAGAACACCTTGCTCGGCGGGAGATCTCCCCTTTTTCCTACTTCGGCCACAGTGGTGACCACTCGACGTGATCTGAACACGCAACCAAACAATCTTCGGAAACTTCAAGCTTCATCATCGTCATACCCCACCGTATCGCTCCCGAGCAGATATCGTCTGCAGTCTTCATATCCTGCAAGCCATCTAGCTTCACAAGGTTCATCGCAGCATTGGAATAATAATGCTTCCTGTTCCTTCAAGCTACTCTCTGCGCCATACAGTGTTTGGCACGGCTATGAGCCTTACTGCTCGCCTCTGCTTCACGGCACTCTCGCAGATTACTTGCCTTCTTCTCGACTCACCGCAGACTACAAGGCAATCCACTGGCACTTGCACATTCGTCGGCAACAAGGCTGCACTAACGACCTCCGGTCTGAGCAGGGGGTGATGTAGCGGCGCTGTCGTCGCCGCCACAAGCGAAAACACACCGAAGCCTAAATCGCGCTATCAACATTCCGAATCATAAACAGTATATATAGAACATCTCCAAACTATCACATGGAGTGCTGGCCGCTCCCCGGGCAGAACACCTTGCCCGGCGGGAGATCCCCTTTTCCTTCCACGGCCACAAACCGATAACCGATGGGGAAAAAAGGTTCTCGAGTGGCAGCCTCATTACTGGTAGGCGTAGTGTAGGGCGACCCCCCACTAGATGGAGTGACGACCTGGTAAGACATGCAGGAAGTCGATGGATGCAGGTGGCTCAGGACCGTGCTTTGTGGCATTACTTGGGGGAGGCATATGTTCAGCAGTGGACTTGTGAAGGGCTGTAATGATGATGATGATGATGATAAAACGAATCAAAAGAAATTGTATGAGGAAACCAGTTCATGCCGTCATAGTGTGTTGTAATCAAATAAACATCTCAAAGGCAACCATCCGCTCAATAAAATAAAATAATCTGTCTTACCTAGTTTGAAGAGTACCTCCCGCCTGCCCTCCCTCAGCGGTCAGCCGCTAAGACTTAGCGGTCATCCGCCGTAGAGTCTACATCACATGAAGATTCCTCGTGTAGAGGCGAAAGACGTGTCGTTTTATCGTCGATGGTGTGTCTTTCCTATAATAGTGGTGTTGGTAGTAGTGGTGATGGGAGTAGTGGTGATGGGATTAGGGTGTTGGGATTAGTGGTGCTGTGATTAGTGATGACGGGATTTGTGCACGGAATTGAGGGAGGGCGGGAGGTGCTCTTCAAACTAGGTAAGACACATCATTTTATTTTATTGAGCGGGTGGTTGCAAAGTAACTATTAATATTTTTATTATAATGGATTTCCGCAAAGTAACGCCTGATTCTATTAATTATCTCAAAGGCATTACTACACTAAATTCAGAAATCCTGGTTAGAATCCTGATTACACTGCACTAAATACAGGATCTTAAATATCTGACAGCAAATGTCTACCCGGGTACACGACTTTTCCATTGGCTCTAAACTTTGTCGAAGCATTAAAAATAGATCTCGATACAGAATCACGATTAGGACAGTTAAAATAAATTATAACAAACGCAAAAAGAAGGAGTTTGATGCACGAATATTTGTTATTACTTAATTGCTTTCCTTACTTTTTCCTATATAGGATGATAAGTGACTTAGGAAGGCAGGGATCTTCCTGAATCCCTAAATTCAGTGTAGTGTATTGTTAGCCCTCTATTTTTAATAAATAAAACATATAATTATTTACAACGTAAAAGCGGCCATTTTTAACACACTATAAAATTGCTAATTTAAATTATATGATGTAGCGATTTATTAATGATGGCAACTTCCCTATTGTGTTATGATTAAACGATAAATGTATTAGGTAACAATGTCTGTTGCCTCAATTGAAAACCTAGTCAGCGTAGGTACTCAAATAGTAAGTAGGCTTGGTGAATTTTATTGGGATTAAAGCTGACAACAAGAACTGCATACAAATTAGACATTTATAGTTGCCGACACGAGTGGTGAGCACAGATAAACTGTGGTGGGAGGTAGGTACACTTTCGGGCAAAATTATTGGATACCTTTATTATTTCAATTCGTAATTTAATATTTTCGGCGACTTTTATGAAAATGTTTACTCGAACACATCAACTTTTACTTTGATACAGTAATGTTGCATATATTCGTGTCCGTTATTTTATTATCTACTATAAAGTATATAATTTATACCTGGTGGTTAGAATTGATTATTTTATTAAGAAGAAGGAAGAGGTGATATGCCTTCCATAAAATCTGGTGTTGCAGTGCGCCGTACAGTAGCTACTGAGACATTAGTCGCCTCAGCAGTCTGTTTGTATACGTCTATGATGTTTTTCGCAGTACCTAATTTTTTCATGTAACTAAACATTGAATAGAAAATTTGTCGGGATTGTCTATTTAACACCGAATTCTTCCTTCTCTACATATTTAGACCAAAATCTATAACAAAAACAATTAACGAAAATAAACTAATAAAAAAGTTATCATTAAAATTATTGCTCTGAAGTGTACGGAAGCCGAATGATACGTTCGAAACCAATAGACGACGAGAATCGACTGATGAACCAATCACGTTGAACGTCAGCGTGGTCAACGTCGTATCGACCAATAAAAAGTGTGCTCACGACTTATGTCGGCAGTTATATTTTTTTAAATGCGCGTTTTTATCGCGTTTAATTTTAACTTAAACCCAAACCCAAGCATACGACGGCAAGATTAAGATACTATGAGCACAACTTGTTTAACTTAAATGTCATGCATTCAGCCCCCCCCCCCCCCTCTGGACGTGGGTGCCGTAAAGTACTTCAAACGTCGGGAATTAATTTTAAATAAGTAAAGATATAATCATGGGACACAGGCTTGTCCAAATACATGACTTTCGTGAGGCCATTCAGATTCCGCCAGCCGCCTAGCGCAGATTGTCGCTTCATTTGTTTAGATTGCGTTTAACTAATAGAACAAGTATTAAAGTATCAGCTATATACTTTTGGAAACAGGTCTCCTAAAATTTCTGAGCGGGTTTTGTATCGAGGAAGAATTTTTGAAGTGTTTTTAATTTTTCAGATTTGCAGGCTGTTTTATTTTTATCTCACGAATGTTTCCTGTCACCATAAAGCACGTGATAAATCAGTAAATATTTTTTTTACCCTAGGTGATAGGGCGCCTAGGCTGTTACCCATGCTATTACCCAAACTCTATCCAAGGTTCATGTATTTGATGATAGTAAATAAAATACGTGTTATACGTGTTAGAGCCACGCTGCTGGGGTACCTATATTATGGTTGTAGCACGAATTTGTCGGGTTTGACCGGAGAAGGACCACGCTCTCACAGAATACCAGCGTAAAATAATAGCTTAATGCTGCTGTGTTTCGTATGGTGAGTGTAGAGATCCGTAGACCCTTTTTTACTGGAAACGAGGCCTTCCATCTTAGTCCTTGGGGTGATAAATGGAGATGTCTATGAGCCACAGCATCCACGTACCAGGTGGACTGTGTGCTCGTTTGTCACCCTTATTCTATAAAAAAATGTCTATGATGCCTTATGTTCATTTAACGTTTAGTTTTCTGTGCTGTTTTACTGATTTTTATGCTTACTGTTTCGTTATTCACCAACAGGCTGGGGAGTATCCGGTGGCCGGCGTGGAACCAGATTACGGGCAATATGTGTCGTCACCAGCCGCTCAATACAACCACATGGGACACCTCACTATGGCACCGTCGCAAAAGTACCCCCATGTGAGTTACATTAAATATTACGTCGCAATTCTACTGCTGAACATAGGCCTGACCTAAAAGGACCACCTACAACACGACTCCTTACATGTATCATCAGATCGTGAGTCCATATAGTGAGAGGATCGCCGTACACAGTGTTGCTTTATTTGATAACATTCAATTGCATGTATTTTCGTTATTCTTTACCACTAGTTAAAGTAACGTGAGAGATTAAGTAGTATAGTTGCATTTTAGGTATGAGTTTTGACTTATATCGATTGCTTTTACGAACGAGAAATACATTAGAAAAATGTTGTTATGGAAATCTGATAGTTGCTATATATATTTTAAAGTAAAAATAAAGATCCTTATGTTAATATAATATTTATCATAAAAAAGGTAAATTAAATACAATTTTCTTACTGCAATATCCACCAAGTCGAGCAAAAAAAGCGGCACGGCCGTACCAGACTTTTCTCGAAGCAATTCAAGCCATTTTCGAACCCTTATAACTTCGTTGTGGATAGAACTAGAAACCTTAATTTTCAGAAACCAAGCAGGCATTGTATAGGCACGGTATATTTCAAATTTCATTCAATTTGAACCAGTAGTTTAAAAATTATAATAAGTCAAAGTTTCTTAATTTTGTCACTCACTGACTGACCGATCATCAAAACTCTAAGGCACTTCTAGCAGACATAGAAGCTTCATACTTAGAACACAATTAATGTTTAATGTATAAATCAAGACAAAACTAAAATATTTTTCAATTTCGGTCCAGCTTTCTAGATACACTAACTGCATAAATATCTTTGTAATCCCATATAAATATATAGGATTACAAAGTTACATTTGCAGTTAATGAATCAGTGTACCTGTATATGTGTAATATAATGGAATAAAAGATGTAGATAGGTACTTTGTTGGTAATCAAGACGTAGAAGGTACCGGAAGCAAAAAAGCAGAACTATCTGCAAAAAGAAATGAGATGCCATCAAAAACATAACTTGTAAAAAAACCAAGTCTCGCAACTCAGTTCTTCTTTGTAAAAAGTTGTGAGATCCATGTAATAACAAGTCGGTTAATTTATTCAGTCTCTACTTAAGGGTTCTTCTGTCTTAAGTTATTACGTAATTAGCTAATACTCTTATTGAGACCATATCAATATTAAAAATCTTTTATGTTTTAAATAAATAGATTGACTTGGCAATCTTTTAATATAATATGTATTATTTGTGAGATACATTGTGTTTTCATGCGATGGCCCAAGTCAATCTATTTATTTAAAACATAAAAGATTTTTAATATTGATATTGTCACAACAGACAGACAGAAGGACCTTTAAGTAGAGACTGAATAAATTAACCGACTATGTATTATATGGATCTAACAACTTTTTACGATAGAACTTGGTTTTTTTACAAGTTATGTTTTTGATGGCATATAGTTTCTTTTATATAAATGAGATAAGTATGAAATTAATTAAAAAGTTATTAATTAGTGCTCTACAAGCTCTACGAAAGTGGAACGTATTTTCGTCCGTCATTTGTTAACTTTTTAATTATGTTTCAAAAATTGTGTCTGTTTCAATCAGAATCTAATTCCAAATTTGAATGTTTTCATTAATGAAGAAAAAACTTAGTTGAAAATGTTTATTTATTACACAATTAAAAACTGAAGGCTCTAAGACTCTTTATATTATTTGTTATTTTTTGGATGTAGGTATTTTTCCTATTAAGAAACTCTTGTTGTCTAACAAAAATATTCCTTTACGGGAGGCGCAGATAATCATCTGCTGGTAAGTGGACAGCGATTCAGGTTGTTGCGGTTTCTACAAAATGCAGTATCGTCTAAAATTAGTTCTCGAGGCCTACATATTTGTTCCGTATTTGTCCTCTCCAAAGAAGCGTGCAGCACCGGGATGCGTATTGAAGTTCTACCCGGGCACATCCAATCTAACGTTATCACTTTTCTGTAGTAGAATTAAATTAAACGTTATCTTAACTTAGCAACACAGGAGATGATAATGTACTTTCCGCAGTTAAAAAAAAAACGAGCTTAGAGCGCATTGTTAACATCATGAAGGTTAGAGAACAGGAGAACGATCACTACGTAGTACGTACTAAAGCGTAGCCCGCCTGTCCTTGAAAATTGTAGAATACATAGAAGCGCTGACGTTGGTGAGTAGTGACTGCGAAGTTAGCTGTTTATAAGTAAAAGTAGGTGAAGTTAGTTGAATAATGTACAAGATTTCATTTAATTTTTTCGTAGAAAATGTTCATGCACCGTAATTTTGTAATTTTTGACAAAAAGAAACATTAAAAAATGGAGAAATATTTTATTGTGCGTTGATGTGCGAATGTGGTTGAGCATCTGATCGGAAAAATAGACTGAAAATGACTTTTATTGACTGCACTTAGTGATCGCAGCGCCTCACTTATGGTGTCCATATTTCTGGGACACTATTTTTTACGGCGATCGTTCTCCTGTTCTCTAACCTTCATGGTTTACATCGTCAGGTGATGGATTCGGTGTCGGTGAGCGGGGGCGTGTACGGCGCGGCGGCCGGCGGCGCTCACTACGGTACTTACGCGCACTATGGCGCCGCTTACCCCGCGCAGCCCGCCTACCTCGTGGAGCCGGGGACGCAAGTGCCCGCGTACATGACACAGGTTAGTTCATACGAGCTGGTTGTATTGATACGTGGTAGAGTTATTCTGCGGCTATATTATGGTTGTTGCACGAATGTGTCGGCTCGACTGGGGGACGACCAAGTTCTCACAGAATACCAGTGCAAACTAGCAGCTTAATGCTGTTGTATTTCATATGGAGAACTGAGAGCCCGAGGCGTTCCATCGTAGTCCTCAGGCTGACAATGCATTTGCATTTTGATTCGTAATTTAGGATATAAGTAAATGTCTATGGGTCACAGCATCCACTTACCATCAAGTGGACTGTGTGCGCGTTTGTCATCCTTGTTCTATAAAAATATTGAAATAAACTAACAATTTAATTTATGGTAAGTGGCTATCGCAGCAACCAATGGTCATCTGCACCAAACTTCAAAAAATACGGCTACAGAAGCGATGTAACCCCAGCAGCCTTGACCAAGTTGACTTTCTACAATCGTAACAGTAATTGGAATCTAAGTTAATTCACTTGACAGTCACGTTTGAGTTATGACATAACGTTGAAATTACGTCGTTACCGTAAATTTTTATAGTTTTCTACTAGTGTTAACCATTATAGAAAGGCAACTTGGCTAGACCTGCTGAGGTGGGATTCGGTTTGAAAGGTATGTGGAGTTAGTATAATTGCTTGTAATTCAAACCGAAACATAACGGTGTAAAGACCACTTTATAAATGACTACAATAATAATCTAGTAATATTTTAGATTTTAAGACTACAGGAAGGTAGTCTTGATATCTTGTGTGAAGTACCACTGAGTAGATACCACGGACTTTCTTGTTTCTGCCCATCATCAACGTTATTGAGTACAACTGGTGTCCTGCTAATTATGGGTAAGAGTTAGTAGACTTTCTGTGTTGCTGTATCATGGCTGCATCACGAATGGGTCGGCTAAACTGAGCGAGTACCAAGCGCTCACTGAACACCACCGTTAAAAAGCAGCATAATGCGTGAAGCAAAACTCTTTACGCTGGTAAGAAAGCATTCTATCTATCCTCACCCTTAGGTAGGAGACATTTTTAGGAAATTTGTGATCTCAATGCCTATAACGATAAATATAACGATACGACCGTCTTTATACAGAATGGGTCCCACATATATGCAATAAATGAAACCACAAGTAATACTAGTCCGTAGAAGTGTAGAAAAATTAAATATTAAATTAAAACCCGTAAAATAAAAAAGTGAAATTTTCAAACAAAATAAATATTAAAATAAATTCAGTAAAAGTGAACACTCTGTTTAGACAACGTACCTTGACCCCTTGGAAGAGTGACAACGTTGCACGCGGGTGGCACGCCGACAAAAGACACCGCTGTCGATATGTCGCAATACCAATAGTTTGCACTGCGTGGCAACGTCGCTTTTTAATGTTCAAGGATTAAAGTTCATTGAATCATTGACTTAGTGACCCAATTCTATAGAGTGTTCAAATTTGCTTAAAATTAAAACTCTACTTTTTGACCTAATTACTGGACCGATTACGTTCATTTTTTGTATATCGTTAGCAAAGGCGATAACAAGTATATGGTTTCATTTATTGCATATATGTGGGACCCATTCTGTATGTCAGGTTCTGTCAAATATAAGTAAACAGTAAAACATACAATGAATAAAAGTAAAATAAAGTATAACTTGCTAAGCTGGAGACAAGCCTCCTCAATATCCTCTCATAGAGGGTTATGAAGAAATTACTCCGAAATATTTTATTTCTTAGGCTTAAATGGACGTGATAAATCGGCACTTAAAATTGCAATAAACAATTTCATTTAGTGTAGGCGGGGATCAAATCCTGGTTGATCGAGTAGTGTAACATTTACAGCGAACGCTTGGCCTCCGAACTATTACTAAAAACAGTAAAGTAAACATTTTAATTGATGCCAATAAAATATCTTTATTCAAAATTGCAGGAGTACGTGGAAGGCGGAGGTAGTGCATCACCAAGGAGCGTTTCTCCCGGTGCGCTACCACCGCAACATAATCTTCATTTGCAGCAGAGGTTCGCATATAATATATATACCTAATATTTTTTATCAAAAGCTCAGGATGTTCAATTTTGAAATTTGCTTTATTAAATCTGTGTTTTGTTTCAAATCGAAATAAAATAAGTATATTGATTTTAATTAGGCCTTGTAGTTTTCAAAATATTTATTTCTTTTTAAAATAATGGACCTATAGGAAATCAGACGTTAAATAACCCTGTTTTCTACGATTGTATGTGTATAGATAATAAATAACATGTTGCAAAAGATTAATTTAATGTGACATCAGTTGGTTTGGTCAACACATTTTTTGTCTTAGTATGCAATAAACATAATAAATAGGTCGTGGAAAAGTTTCTTCGTATTTTGTTTGTATAAAATTGAACAAAAATTCATTTCAAGATTGCACACAAAACAGTTTGGACCCATTTGAAAAAGTCTGGCTAGACAAAAAAGCTCGATATTTGTGTACCACACGAGCTCACTGAAAAAACCCGATGAATCGTGTACTCATTTGCGATTCTCTATTGAAACGTAATAACCGTACAATTTTTGAAAATATTGATCATTACTGATAAAAAATGGATTACCTACGACAAGAAAGTGCGAAAAAGATCATGGTCAAAGGATAGTCAAGGTCCACAGACAAGCGAAACCCGGATTAACACGCAATAAGGTGATGCTGTGTGTATGCTGGGATTGGAAGAACATAGTTTATTGTGAGCTTTCACCACCGGGAAAACTTTCGATTCGGATCCCTACTGCCAACAACTAATGAGACTCAAGCAAGAAATTGAAAAAAAAATTACGGTTAATGCATCCACCATATAGTCGTGACATTGCACCCCCTGATTTTCACCTGTTTCGGTCTCTTCGAAATTTGTTAGTAATAAGTACTGTTAGGTTAACATACTATTAGGTATACAGAGAGGACTGTTAAAACTACTTGTCGTATTTTTTGATCAAAAATCTCAAGATTCCTACAGCAACAGGAATCTGTCACTACCTACAAGATGTCAACAAATTATCGAACAAAATATATATTACTCGTATAATTAAATGTAATTTAACTTTGAAAAAATGTCTTGAATTTGTGTATAAAATACGAAGAAACTTTTTCTCCCACCTATTATGATTACATTGTAATACCTAGTATCTTAGTAACATTAAAAACCTATTTCTTAGGTACGATTCTGCATCACTTGAGCAATTAGGACGACATTATTGCGTGACGTCACCGCGCGGCGAGTACGCAGGCGACGCGTACGGCTACCAACACTACCCGACAGCATACGACCCACAACCACACCAGCCACCACCATTTAAGGTTATAACTTATATCCGTGCATTAAAGTTTACATTACTCTGGCAATTTCTTTATTGAGAATCCGTTTGTTATTGGAAAGGATTCAAGGTCTCATGACCTTTTTAATAAAACGTGATACATCATTCATTAGTTTCATTTCTGAGGGATCTTCTACTTCATTAGCTGTAAAATAGAGGCAAGATTTGCTTCAATCGTTTCGCGTAGGGGGCGTTCAAGTATAACGTAACGCAATATTTGCAGATTTTTGACCCTCCCTTCCCCCATGTAACGCGCCACAAAGTTTTTCTGTACGCCCCCCCCTCCCTAAACGTTACGTAACACTAAAGTGATAATTTTTACCTAAAAGTCACAATGTACCGGAAAATTGCTGAAATACCTTTGTCATTGTTTTAATGACCTTTGCGGTAATAATAAAAATGGTTTATATATTACATACCGACCTATATGTGATATTATTACATTTTAGCACTAAACTAACCTGTGTAAAATAACTAAGCATTTTTGCTTTCTTCTTCATGGCCTTCACCTCGAATTCTCGTATAAAATCACTTATGTTCTATAAACTATTCTTTATTTTTTAGTTTTTCTTTAGCCGTCTTCCAAATTTCGTTGGCTTTTTTGGCACAATTGCGCTAGCAGCATGAGAGTCTTTATAGGCCAAGAACAGCTGATGATGCAAAGCTCCCTCTTTTGAGAATGAAAAACTGTACAATACAATTGAGGAATTCACCGTAAAACATAAGAGAAAAGGTTTGCCAACTTGGGATATTTTAATTCCCTAGTTTTTAATTACATACAAAAAAACAATGTTACGTAACGCGTTGTTCTCTTGTTGGAGCCCCCCTCCCGCCCCCTGTAACTCATCGTAACGTTTTACAAGACCTCCCTCCCCCCAAATTGCGTATAAGAGTTGGAAGCCATAAGATATTTATGGCATTATCCATTGTCGCCTCACGCGACACCCATGAGGTGAAGTGGGGTGTTGAATTCACTTACACCACCATACGATAGTTTGATTTCCGAAGGATCATAGAGATTTAATTAATTCCAGGATTCACAGAATGGTTTAAGCCTTGGAAGTACCGGAGGTCAGTCAATGTATGGGGATGAAGACGAACTGCAAAAGCAAATGGCTGGAATGGCGTTAGGTGAGTGTCTTCTTTATTTGTGTAAGATTAATTTAATGTCACAGAAAAACCTCGTATTCTACTTTACCTTAAAATTACAGTATGATTTGTTTTTAAAAAATTACTGGGGGCACGGCAGTGCCCCAGCCAAGTTGAGAAAAAAGCGGCACGGCCGTACCATACTTTTCCCATGGTAGTTAAGGCCATTTTCGACCCTGTATAACTTCGTAGTGGATAAAACTAGATGCCTGAATTCTGAATTAGAAATCAGTTACCGAGTAGGCATAGTATAAAACACACAAATATTTTAAATTTCATTCAATTTGAACCAGTACTTTAAGAATTATAACTAGTCAACGTTTCTTAATTTTGTCACTCACTGACTGACCAATCATCAAAACTCTAAAGCACTTCTAGCAGACACAGAAGCTTAAAATTTAGAATACATAGAGCTTAGTGTATAAATCAAGGAAAACCTAATATATTTTTTAAATTTTGGTCCAGTTTTATACACCAACTGCATAAATAACTTTGTGTACCTATATAATTATATAGAATTACAGAGTTATATTTGCAGTGAATGAATCAGTGTTCTTGTATATGTATAATAGGTGTAGATAGGTACGTTGTTGGTATTCAAAAACTAGAAGGTACCGGAAAGGAAAAAAAACTATAACTATCTTGTTTACAAAAAGAAATGAGATGATATCAAAAACATAACTTGTAAAAAAACCAAGTCTCGCAACTCAGTTCTAGTACCGTAAAAAGTTGTGGGATCCATGTAATACCAAGTCGGTTAATTTATTCAGTCCCTACTTAAGGGTCCTTCTGTTTTAAGTTATTATGTAATTAGCTAACCTAACAACATTACAACACAATACAACAAATATATGTATAATTTGTTAATAAATTACTTTAAATACATATTATTTAATAATGGTCTTTCGAGCCAGATATATGTTTTATATTTGTAATTTTTTCAGTTCATCCTAGTGTGGGTGGTCGAGAGGATGGCGGTGGACTACAATGGCGTGACCCAAATTTACCTGAAGTAATCGGCTTCTTAAATTCGCCTTCGGACGTGGTTAAAGCTAACGCTGCGGCTTATTTACAGCATCTTACTTATATGGATGACCCGAACAAGCAAAAAACGAGGAGTTTGGGTATGATTTTTCATTTGAAACTATTACTATTTGTATTTAAAAGAGACACAAACTAAAAAAAAAGATATGTTATCGAAATGTAATATTTTAATTTGTGGGAAGCAGGCGTGTTTTTAGTACAAATATTTTATTTTACAGGAAAAGACTATAGATTGATGGATCGCATTCAATAATAAAAACAAATCAAATTCATTCTTTTATTTTTATCAATTTATACATAAGGGAGATAACCACAAATTAACACTGAATTAAAATTTTATAAAGCGTGCACACAAATATACTACCACATCCCTGGTCATATTTTTGTATTATACATGATGACACTAAAATGATGTTTTTTTTTTTATAAAGTGAGGGTGACAAATGAGCACACAGTACAACTGATGATAAGTGGATACCGTGGCTCATAGACATCTATACCTAAAATGCAAATGCGTTGTCATCCTTGAGGACTAAGGTGGAATTTGTCTTCTCCATTGTAAAGGGTCTCCTGTTTTCTACACTCACCAACAAAACACAGGAGCATTTAGCTGTTATTTTACGCTGGTATTTTTTGATACCGTAGTTCTCACACGGTCGGGCCGACATATTTGTGTTACAAACGTATAATAGCTACAGCATGGCTCTACCAACAACTCGCGGCAATTAGCTGTGTGAGCCGAAAAGCAGGCCAAGTGGTGCGTTTTGTGAGATGCCTATGTCCAGCAGTTGCTGTAGGTTGTTGATGATGATGAGGATTATGGATCTACCTCATTTAAATGTGTTACTATACCACGACTACACTCACAAACATACGTGAGTGTAGTCGTTTGTGCACAACTCACAAGTAAGATCAACCCACCATCGTTATATAAAAATACTATACGTGGTATAGCCACATGAGTAAAGGAAATAACTAGAGGCAATGCTTCTAAGCACAGATTAAATATGCAATGTTACTACGTAACATATACTTCTTTCCCATACAAAAACGAAAATATCTACACTATAATAGCCTACAAAATTTTTATAATAATCCCAGACGTTATCTGCAAGCAGAAATATACCTCCTACACGCGTAAATGCAGTTGAGGATGCTTTGCCCTGGCTGCGTCATCGAGCGAACGCGCTGGGATTGTACAAAGATGATAGAAATAATGAAATAATTAGTTTATTTGTTTGATAATCAAATATGAATTTTATAAAATGATAAATAGATTTATTTCCTTCCTTGAATTCTCTGTTATTAAACTTAATATTTGAAAATATTTTTAATATGGTTAATAATTTTGTATTCACACGCACAAGTTAATTGTACTTCCCGATCGATTCATCAAAACATTGTCGAAACTATCAAAGAATGCTTTTTCTAATTCTAATTCTTCAATATAATTTTTGTGTAAGTGTGATTCAAGGTCCCGTGTGGGTAATTGCTTAAAAATTTCAAGTTTTTTATTTACGAAGTGATTGTCAGCGGTGTCACAGTCACTTTGACTTAAAATGATAGAGACAGTTGAGCAGCGTTTGAGTATTTGAGCATTATTTTATAAAAAATTATCATGAGGCCAGGTTTTCCGGGTTTCCATAAAATTACAGTTTCAAGTGCGCAGAGTAAAGGGCAGGGATTCCCAAACTTTTTTAGTTCACAGCGCACTTACAGATTTTGTATTTTGTTTCGGCTCTTAGCTAGTCGAAATAGGGTACTATGATACTAGATAGAGAGAAAGTAAAGTTAAAGTAAAGTTACAGCCTATATACGTCCCACTGCTGATCACAGGCCTCCCCTCAGTTCTGAGAGGGTTTTAGGGCAAGTAAGTGTCCGCTGCGCTGCCCCAATGCGTGTTGGCGAACTTCACATGTCTTCGATATATTTTTTTTATTCCTCAGACATGCAGGTTTCCGCACGATGTTTTCCTTCACCGCCGAGCACGTGGTAAATCAGCACTTAAAATTGCAATTAACAATTTCATTGGTGCCGGCGGGGATCGAACCCAGGTTACTCGCATTCTGTTATATTTACAGCGAGCATTATTATCCACAATATGAATTATAATTATACATAGTATGATATAATTATACACAATATGAATCTCAATACAATGGCAACTCAGTCAACGTGTGAGCTTGATTATCTCCACACATTTTTCAAAATGTGGGCTAGGGCTTAACGCCGCTACTCTTATTTTCTTGCTCGACATCGATCTTTACCCTGTAAAGCTGTCATTTTCTTCTCTGTATAGACCGATTTACACTTCGATAAGTACAGTAGCGAGTTAACTTGCAAACCTGGCGAGTTAAGTTTGAACCTCGTTTGAAAGGCAATAAGCGAGTTAAGTAGCAAGGTAACGATTAAGTTGAACGGGATAGCCGGCCGAGCTATTTTACGGCGAGTTAAGTGCGAAGTGCCGCCCTCCCGCGCGTCTCCCGCCACCCGCAACTAAACTCGCCGTTCGTGTAAACGAGCGAGTTTAGTTCAGTGCATAAATTGACAAGACGCAACATAACATTTGCGCGCCAAAACGTACAATTGTACTTTTATAGTGAAACTCGCCACAAAGTTCGTACGACACTGTTTATTAAATATGTATATGTTTTATATTGAGTGTTAATAACAAAATGGGCGAAAGATATCACGTATAAATTCGTACAGAAGTATTTAGAACACGAATGTTTATATAATAGTAGAAATTTAAATTGTAAAATTAAACCTGCTCGAGGTGCTGCACTCATGAAAATTCTTGAAAACTTCTTTAACAACAACCATTAATACTTCTCTGACTGGATCATTTAATTCTTGACGTAATCCGAGGACCATCTTAAACGAAAACTGGAAAAATTCTGTAGTCTTGAAACGTCATACTCCAACTCTATGAACTAATGTACTTAACTAAACTCGCCACGAAGACATTGTTTGAACGCTACTGCCCACTTAACCGTTTCCTGTCAACTGTCCTGTAACTAAACTGGCTACTGTACTTGTCGAAGTGTAAATCGGTCTTATGGCGCAGCAGGGCGCCGCGACGCACGCTTTGGGGACCTCTGGTATAGGGCATGTGTTTGTGGTTGCAGGCGGCATCCCGCCGCTAGTGCGGCTGGTGTCGCACGAGAGCGCGGAGGTGTGCCGCAACGCGTGTGGCGCGCTGCGGAACCTGTCGTACGGCCGCCAGAACGACGAGAACAAGCGTGCCATCCGCGACGCAGGCGGCATCCCCGCGCTCATGGCGCTGCTGTGCCGTGCCACAGACATGGAGGTACAGTGTTGCCATACGCAAGCTAACGGGCTACGCTCCGGAAATATAACTTTCAAAAAATTTGCGTATTATGTGAAATTACTGATGAAACAGAATTTCTCAAGCTGTGATTTTGTGAATCTTCTTGATATTCAAATATTTTTTTATTTAATAAAGGTAACAAACGAGCATATAGTCTACCTGATTTTAAATGGATGCCTTGCGCATCATGCATATAGGTTGTCACCACTGAGGAAGATGAAATGCCTCCTTTGCAGTAAAAATGTAAGATATTCTGCTTATTTCTTCTTTATCACTCCGTAGAGATTAGATCCACTGCTAGACATATTTTTTTTTTAATATAGACTAAGGGTAACAAGCAAGCGGACAGCCCACCTAATGGTTAGTGGATGCTGTGGCTCATAGACATCTACATTTATCCTCGAATAAAAATCAAATGCAAATGCGTCGCCACTCCTTAGGACTAAGATTGAATGCCTTGTATCTAGTAAAAAAGGTCTCCGGTTTTCTACGTTCATCATACGAAACACAGCAGCATTTATCTACTGTTTCCCCGATCGAACCAACCCAAGTGCCGCAACTATGTATAAAGTCTTTGAGTTATCCTTAATTAAAGACTTCGACTACATTGATGATGTTTTCATTTTATTTATATTGAAGTCAATTTTTTTATTTTAACACTTGTTATGTAAGAGTTGCTTCTGATTGTGTAAATAATATGATGAGGATACGATAGCCCCGTTATACTCTTATCTTACAAAGATTGGAGTATAACGATGCTGTCCTATCCGATTCGGACAAATGCCGCTAAATGTACGCGCCTTACGCAACAGGTGCAACATACCCGCGCTTATGATTTTGTTATGCCGTGGCAGTGACTTGTAGGTATTTTTTTTTAACAATAACAAATTGTCTAACCATTACCTTCGTGAAACATGACTATGAGATGTCAAAGCCATCTGCAATCAATAAAGAAGAAGGATGTAGGCTTGTTATTTTCTTTAAAGATTCAGATTAAATGCCTTACAGTTATATGCTAACTCTCCATGCTATGTATGAATATGTATTTATTCATAACAGGTAAAGGAATTAGTGACTGGAGTAATTTGGAACATGTCATCGTGTGAAGACCTGAAGCAGTCGATCATAGATGACGCAGCTCAGGTGATAGTGAACAAGGTCATCATACCGCATTCTGGATGGCATCCCACCAACCCAGGCGACACATACTGGTCCACAGGTAAATTTATTAACTTTAATCTATCCTTATCACTTTTAGCAAATTCGAATATAAGAGTATTGATCTCAATTGCTATCATTAATAGATAAGAAGAGTTTTCAGGTATAGACAAAGGTTTTAAAACAGTGGTCCGCGTTTCAAATAAGTTTTTTTGGCAACATTCTATTATTATGACGTAATTACCGTACAATACTAATTATTATCATAATTTCAGCTAAGTCGACTGCTGAACACAGGCCTGCTAGACTGAAGACTGCTAAAAAGCTGTGGCAAAGGTCTACAGTAAGAGGTCGTGTATGTGTTGGTAGAGTTCTGGCCCCGTGGTCTTAGATGAAAACATTTTAATGTGTTATAGGCAGTTGGAATGTGTCACCCGTATTGCTTAGGAACCTCTTAATTTTTTACAATGGGAAAATCCTTATAAATACTACTAGGTTATGTCGGACTTTTACCGGCTTAAATAGACGGTGGTCACCATCAGCATATATGACGTAGGTGGGTCATGCATTTTTTAAATTTATTTAAAACTCGTTGCACAAAAATGTACATAGGTGAATTTATGCCCAGATACTGTTGCTCAATAAGGTGCCGTTAATGCTCATTTTGTCTCTATCACTTTAAGTCAAAGTGATAGTGTCACCACGAGACTTAACGACATCTTAAAATTGAGTAGTGTTTGATTATTTGGGCTATAACGCCTTAAGGCATTCTGTAGCATGCTATAGGTGGTCGCGTTATGGTGTGTGTCTGTTTGTGTGGCAGTAAACATGTTCTAAATGACCGAATCATTCAAGTATTTATTCGTCATATCATTCAGATCGTATCGTATCGTTCAGATCAATCATTCAAGTAGATTACTTCGGGCTTCAGTTATTCTCTGATCTGTGAGACCCATTCCTAGCACTTCTTATTAGTTTTTGGACCAATTCGGACCCGCTCTCCTCTATGGTTATAATTTTTTTCTAATTTCCGTCGATTCGTTGATCGCGAGCGCAGGTCATTCCATACCATAAATCTTTATGAGATGATGCGCCACGAAAGACAAAATAGTTTTGTAAAGTTACAACTTGTAAGTCATGGTTATCTTAAAGCCACATACGAGGTCTGCAGTATTTTTTCCGTCTGTCTGTCTCTTGCCTTAAATTATACAGGATATTTTTGAAACGCTTTGACATTTGATGATGAGACATATAAAATCGATCCCGATGCAAAACTAATAATTTTTTTTACAACGTTTAATTAGCTTTATTCACGCTCTATCATGTTATTACAGCTAAATGAAACGATAATTTCATAGAAAAGATCATGAAAATACCTAAACATAAAACCAGCAATGAAACTTCAATACCTGAATCAGCTGATAAAGGGTCAATAAACGAACGACGCCGAGCGCTGACACGCAGCCCACATCATACCAGTACCTCATAATTTACAACAGTTGTCTAAATGCCTAACTTATCTACTTAATCTACTGTTTTGCCACTGTGCTAGTCTCCACCTAGCAACTTTAATTCGAATTCACTCAAACTCAAAAACTAAAATTAATAATCAATTCCCGCCGAAACAAATGCGTACTGCGTAGTTCTTGTGTCCTTTGTCCTTGTGGTTACCACATATCGTTAAACCGTTACGACATTCCCAAATTTTATTTTATAAGTAGTAAGTTTAGTTATACCTACGACTAGTCTTAAAATGGAATTTAGAAGTTATAATTGTAATTTTTTAATTCAAGTACATAATCAATTATAATCTGATATAACAAGCAGTTCGTTATTACAAAAATGATATTGAAATTAATAAACGTACCTAATTGGGTAACTCACACAATTTCATTGTTATCTTTGATTTTGTACAAGAAAATACTATCGATCAATTGTAATAATGATCGATAGTTAACTAATCTATCAGAATTAATCCTAAAATAATTCATTTACTTTAATTGACTTTCCTTTCTTTAATCCGTCCAATACTTTGAATTTAAAAAGAGGTAAGTTAAAACTATTAAAATTACTTCTAAGTTTTATTGTGATTGCCGCCTCTAATTCATATTTAGTCTGCAAATTCGGGGAATTCCCCACATGTTGGCATTGTAAATTGCGAGGCAACACGGGTCGGCCGGGTGGCGGCAGCGCGTGTGTGAAAGGGAAGGGTAGAGTGAGCGAAGTACAGTAATACCTATGCATTGTTTCGTCATATTTATTCTGTGGTTTCGTTTCGAGCTAAATAAAAGAGTTTTGCGTCCGCGCGTTTATTGAACCTGTAATCGGCTGGTACCATTTTAATTTTCACTGTTGCTTTTATTTTTCAGTATTTTCATGATTTTTTAAAGAAATTATTGTTTCATTTAGCTGTACTAACATGATGGAGCGTGAATAAAGCTAATAAAACGTTGTGAAAAGATGATTTTTTTTTCATTGGGATCGATTTTAACCTGGTCCCATCGTCAACGCTATCGTTAGTATAGCCTGTTTTCGTTTTCGGGAGCGTTTCAAAAATACCCTGTATACTAATCTCTATATAATTTAAGTTAAAAGACAATGTTATATATTAACGTTATTTCAAACAGTTACCTGTGTACCTTACACTTATGACGTCTTTTCATTTTAGAAATAGTGAGCGCATTTGACACAATAACAATATTAATTATGCATAAATAAATAAAAACATGTGTGTAGTTCACACGCGACAGAATCTTTCTAATAGCGCCATCTACTACATTCTATAGCTAAAGTATTTTATCGTACAAAAATTGACTCTCAAAGGGCTAGATGACATAAATTACACAAAAACTTAATATAAATTGATAAGTTATGAAATCGTGGATTGTCATTAATGGATTGGAAAAGATGATAATTTTATTCAATATTATTATGTATTTTATGTATTTAATAAATTTGTTTATTGAATAAAACTAAATTTACGGATTTTATCGCGTTTCTTTCACTACTTTTACTTATTTTTAATTCCCGACGTTTCGGGTGCTTTACAGCAACCATGGTCACGGGGGGGGACTGAGATGTTTGACGTCCCAATGTCATTGTTAGCCCGGCTACCTTCAGTTTTTGAATATTAATTTTTGGTCCAATTTACGCAAAACGAACTTACAGTATCTTGAAGTCTTGCGGTGGTATGCTTGGGTTTGGATTTAATTTTGTTAATTATAGGATCCCAAGCAGATGGTAGCACCCAAACATCTTCTCTATTAAAATTAGGATATCGGCGTTTGGCGTATCATCCTTGGTAGGAATCGGTGTTCTTTTGCGAGGACTTGTGGTTTATCAAATCTGATGTAATGGTGGGGACGATTTTGAACATGTTCACAGACTGCAGACTTCCCGGAGCGTCGGTGCTTCACGTCAGCTATATATTCTTTCACGCGGGTTTTTATGGATCTTTTTGTTTGACCTATGTAAGAGAGACCACATTCACAATCTAACTTGTAAACTCCTGCATCTTGTAGAGGGATATTACACTTGATGGATGGTAAAAATTGCCTAATCTTCTTCGGCGGCTTGTAGTATGTTTTAATGGAAGCTCGCTTCAAGATGTAGCCAACCTTGTCTGTGATTCCTCTGACATATGGTAGTACAGCAGGTAAACGCTCGACTGTGGCCGGCTTCACTCGGTCACTGTGACGTAGGCGCGGGACCCGAAGCTTGTTGTCTTGCAATACTTGCTTGACATGCTGAAGTTCGGCGGCCAGATGTTTTCTGTCACAGATCCCTCGTGCTCTCTGAAACAAAGATTTACCCACGGTAGCTAACTGTGAAGGATGAAGGTGAGATTCACCATTTAAATATCGGTTGGTATGGGTCTTTTTTCTATACACAGTGTGACCAATTGTGTTATTAGGATTTCGAATGACTAAAACATCTAAGAAAGCTAAAGAATTATTTGCCTCTAACTCCATTGTGAATTGTATTTTAGAGTTTATAGAGTTAAGGTGGTTTAAAAATGCAGTTACTTTGTCAGATGGTAAAATTGTGAAAGTGTCGTCTACGTACCGCTTGTAGAATCTTGGATTTACAGGAGCAGTAAGAAGGGCTTTCTCCTCGAAGTCCTCCATGAATATGTCGGCGACTATTGGAGATACAGGTGAGCCCATCGCCACACCATCTACTTGCTTGTAGAACTCTTCCTTCCACAATAGATAGCCAGATGTGAGGCAGTGTTTGAGTAATACTGCATATTCAGCAGGCATGTTATTATCTTCTAGCTTCCTAGTTGCAATTGATATGCAGTCTTCAATAGGTAGGCATGTGAATAGTGACTGAACATCAAAACTGACCATAGTTTCATTGTCAGCGAGATGTAGCTCTTTTATCTCACTAACAAAATGGTAGGAATCCTTTGTGTGTGCTCTGGTATGTCCTCTCAGTGGTGACAGTACTTTTGCCAAGTGTTGTGCCAGCTTATAAGTTGGTGAATCGATCTGGCTCACTATAGGACGTAGTGGAGCGTTTGTTTTGTGTATCTTCGGTAACCCATACAACCTCGGTGGTTTGGTACATGATGGTATTAGCGAATTCACGTCGAGATTTAATTTTTCGGAGTATTTCTTTATTAAATCGCTAGTTGCTTTAAGCGTGTTAGTTGTGGGGTCTGTTTTGACCTTTTTTATGTACTTTCGTCCGATAAAAGCTGTAGTATTTTAAAATTATACTCTGACGTGTCCATTATTACCGTAGCATTTCCTTTATCCGCGCGGAGAATCGTTAGCTCTGGTCTGTTCCGTAAGTTAATCAACGCTGTAAATTCGTCTTTAGGAAGGTTTGGTTTCGGCACTGAACTACGACGTAACAAGGACGAAATATCTTGACGTATAGCCTCCAAATCTTCCTTACCAATATTATTTTTAAACAGACAATCCTCAACACTACAGATAATTTCTTCGTACGGGATTTTTCGCGGTGTTAATGCGAAGTTGATTCCCTTCGCTAATACCTTTATTGTTGGTTCGTTCAGTGTATGTTAGTTATGTTGACGTTATAGACCGTGCGTTGTTTATTGTTTGCGTCTGTGGTCAACGGTTGTGTTTCGTTCTGACGTTGACTTAGATGGCTGGCATTTGATTTGATCGTTAATTTTTGGTATTTTTCTATTTGTTTATTTTTGCATTCATTGTATTTTGCTGTTTCTCGTTTGTTTAAAGTTTCGATGCAATTATTAAAATCAAATGTCGTTAAAACTGTCTTTAGTTCACTGAACAAATTGTCTATGGTGTTGTTTATGACATGTAAATCGAACCGTTTCTGCTGAATCACCGTTCGTAACAACTTTTTACTTGCCTGATTTAAGATCTTTGCGCTTCCTCGAATGTCCTTTTTTGTTGATATTTTGACACACGTAGGAATGAGATTATGGTCTCTGCATCTCTTCAAGAAATTTAAAGATGTTATATATCTTGCGCGCTTGGTTTTAAGATCTTCTAATCGGCGAATTTTATTTGCTATTACCAGTCCGTACTGGTTCACATAATGATTTCGTTTTGCGTAAATCGGACCAAAAATTAATATTCAAAAACTGAAGGTAGCCGGGCTAACAATGACATTGGGACGTCAAACATCTCAGTCCCCCCCCGTGACCATGGTTGCTGTAAAGCACCCGAAACGTCGGGAATTAAAAATAAGTAAAAGTAGTGAAAAAAACGCGATAAAATCCGTAAATTTAGTTTTATTCAATGTGTAGTGTTCGCGTAAATTTAAATCATTCGGTCAGTATTAGACTGAAGTAGTCTAATTTACACCAATCACAAATTCTAAAAGTTCTATGAAAGGTTTGTGATTGGTCGAACTGGAACATTGAAAAATAGATGAACGAATCATCAATAGTTTTAAGTATCGAGGTTGAAAGGAAGGAACGATTCAGGATTGAGACATGTGTATGTGTGTGTGTGGTTGTTCAGTTTTCCGCAACGCGTCGGGCGTGCTGCGCAATGCGTCGTCGGCGGGCGAGTACGCGCGGCGGCGGCTGCGCGCGCTGCCCGGGCTGGCCGAGGCGCTGCTGCACGCCGTGCGCGCCGCCGTGCGCGCTAACGCCATCGGCACCAAGATCGTCGAGAACTGCGTCTGCGTGCTGCGCAACCTCTCCTACAGGTGCACTACGCCGCGACCAATACACTAAATACACTCTAGACACGTGCCACTATTTTATTTATTTATTTACCTTCATATACACATTAGATGTATATAGTCGGACTTAATGCCTGAGGCATTATCTACCTGTCTACCTTAGAGTAGTGCAGAGATAAAAGAAGTAGGTGTAATAAGAAGTATGTACAGCAATTAATATTCACATATTTATAAACTCATATTTTATTATATATATGTATATATATACATACATACATAAGTATTTTATGCTAGTGCTCCTCCGATATCTAGTATACAAAATATTTAATAAACACTTTTTGTCTTGACATACACTCCATACACTAGAGAATATAATAATAGAATAGAATACAATAATATTTTCAAATAGATTACAAGTAATTATTATTGAAGGTAATTTTTTTTAACTTTCGCCACTGGTTCGAAAAACACTTGTCCTGGGGTGAACGATTAGGAAACTCACCAGAACTTTTTTATTTAATTTAAAATAGTACAGTAAATATATAATAACCATAATTCGTAAATGGTTATAACACACAACTATAGGTTTTCCTCCACACATTTGGAATATTTATCTCCCACGCGTTGCTTTTAATTGTCCGCAATTGCTTCTTCATGTCAACTATTGTACGGGATTGTGTGAAAAAGCTTTTGATCTATTGACTGACGCTGCACTCCCCGCCTGCGATTCCGCGCCTTAAACAAAATTGAATTTGTTTTATTCCAACAAATGCAAAAGCTGTAATTACGCCTTCCAACTCTATAGACAAAAAAACTGCACAGGCAGAGACATTCATATTTCACCCAAACATGCATAGGAGCTGCAAAAACCATTAAAGTACAATCGACATCTATTTCTAGAAGAAAAGAGAGAAGCCCGAGCAAAGGTTTTAACAGAATCGAATTACGTCGTTTTTCAAATAACAAAAAAGACAAAAAGAAACTAATGAAGCAAACCTATGGTTTGGGAAAAAATTATCTGAATTTATCCTATCCTAAGCAGTTGAATTATTAGCATAGGCTTTAAATTAACTACTACTATTAAGTACTTAATTTAATAAAATTGAAAAAAAAGCCTATTTATCTACATCCTGACAAATCATTAGCAACATCTGAAAAAATACATTAGTAATGGCAAAAGTGAAATTTAAAAATATAGAGACATAATCATCAAAATGTCCATCAATTCTCACATAGACATTCTTCACAAGTTAACATACAGATACTCCACAACTTCACAATGTAATTTATCCTCAATCTATAGTGACACCTTCCTATCGATTATAGGCTACTCTAACAAAGTTTTGGAACCCAGTAATTTGCGAACAGAACGCAATGCGTTGTTAGCCTCAACACTGCGTACGTGTTGTGTCATAGAAGCATACGTAGCTCATACGTGGCTCGTATATACAATTTTTCTGCCCAAAAGCTTCTTTAGCACAACTGTACAACTGTTGGCATGAAGAAACATTTGAGAACACATACAATGAGTCGAGCAGGTTGACAACCGCAGACGTTTATTATTTTTCAGTTGTTATCAATGAGAGGCTGATGCCCATCTCCATTCTAGTTTCCTTCTATCGCCTCGTAGTGGTTACTCTTACACTGTCACTAATTGATCTAAGTTTATTACTGTAAAAAAATTGGCACGATAGATGAACTCAACGAAAGCCTATGACGTCGTCAATATTAAAAAAAAGACTTAATATAGCATGAAATTGATCAATCGATAATAAATACTACTGTAGTTTTCTTTTATTCGCGATGCAGGATTGAAACGCAGATCACTTTATTAATAACACAATAATACACTCACATTATTCTTGGAGACGAGTCACTTCTGCTCTTTCACTACTCATTACTTTTGCTGTGTCTTTTCCGGTCGTACTTTTATTCCCTCCGTTATCTAGTGTTGCCAACATCAATTTTAAAACTACAAAAACTCCTTGAATAATTTAACAGAACTTACTCATTTCATTTCGTGGATGTCGTAAAACGATACCATAAGGAAACAGAAGATGCGGCAGCAACGCATTCCTATTAATAACTCAAATTAATAAAATCTGCGGTTGTTAACCCATTTGCCAAGCGTGGCAGCTATGGAAAATACACTGCGCCCATGAGAGATTCTATGAAGGAAACATATTATGTCTGGCTAATATTCCAGCATGGTTAAATAATATTAGGTCTGTACCCCTGCAGGTGTCAAGAGATCGAAGACCCGTTATATGATACGAGGGCTCCACCGACACAATCTTCTGGACAGGCCAGGATACAAGCCAGTCAGTCTAAAGGTATGAAAATAAAAGTAAAGATTTTTATTGAAATAGATGTAAGAAAAAATATTGTATTTCTTTTGCTTTTTCATTTATTTTTGAATTTAATTCACAATTAAATGTAAATACTGGATTTTTATTCTCCAGGCGAGAACCTTGGTTGCTTCGGTGGCAGTAAAAAGAAGAAGGAAGGCTCGTCATCGTCCAACTCCACCAGTCCACTCGGCAAAAGCGATCCTGACTCACAGCCGCTCGGGGAAACTGGCTCTAACACACAGCTCGGATATAGTGTTCCCAAGGGAACGGAAATGTTGTGGTCACCTGAGGTTATTACCCTTTTTATTCTTATTAAGAGGATAGACGGGCTGCATTTTTTCCATACAAATGTATTCCCCTATTCACTTCCTGGATAATGCCTCTAAAGTAATCGTTTTTGTTTATAAAAATCAAGGTCTATTAAACACATGCCCCTGTCATTTATTTTTTTCCAAAAAATTATTACAAAAATAAATACTTTCGAAAACCCTAAGAAAAATCCCCGTTTTTACCTCTGAATGAGAGGACTACCAAAGAAATTCGAAAAGATTTTAAGATATATGATAGGAGCATAGATCTATTCTTCCTTTAAATTTTGATACCAAAAATAATTTAATCCGCTTAGTTTTCGAGGAGAAAACGGGGGAATACGAAACGTCGATCGATTATGGTTTTTGTAGGTAAAATCGTTCTAAGCTGCAGTTGTCCCTATCGCACTCTACGGGGGGAGACCAGAGGTGAGGGAGGATTAGACAAATACTACATTGTACTATTTCTGACTGCCTCGTTGGTCTAGTGGTTGTAGTTGCGACTGCTTATCATGAAGTCTTGGGTTCGGATCCCGGGTCGGGCCATAAAAAACAATTATTGAGTTTTCCGTTAAGAAATTCTCAGTAGCCGCTTGGAGTCAGGATTTTGGCGGTGTCTCACTCCCCTGTGCCTCGAAAAGTACGTCAAGCCGTTGGTCCTGCGCCCGATATCTCTCCGGTCGTGTCGGTTTACCGTCGCATCGGATTATGAGAGTGAAGGAAGGAACAGAGAGTGCACCTGTGCTTGCTCATACACTTGGGCACTATAATCCTGTCCTGCGCCGATGGCTCGTCTCCGTTGAGACTGACCGCCGTGACCGAAATTCGGTCTGAAGGACATTAGTACTATTATTTATTTTGTGCTAACAATTAATCAGTGACAACTGTCGGAGTTTTTATCGATATCATAGTGATGTCAGTCGATATCGACGTTTATCCTACACTGATTTACAGGCGGCGCAGAACTTTTGTATTTTTCAAGAGAAAACGAAATAACATTTCAATGATATTTTAAGAGTTTATAAGTAATTAAAGTTTACTATTATTTGAAATGAACTTAACGAAATGTCTCTTGAAAAAAACAAAGTGTAACTAAATAATACGTAGCTAATGTTCGCACTCTACTGGTTGGTATATTAATTCTGCTTACTTGATTTGCCAGCTTTACTGAAGAGTTTATGAAATAATGATTGCTCTTATCAAGTAAGTTCTTAATATTTATGTGGCAGAAGAGGTGCTTGTGGGTATTTTAAATAATACAAAAGTTATATAAAAATCAATATGTACATTTATTCTGTATGTGTTGTGTGTTTAAAAAAAATTCTAAGAAAATCACTTGAGGTTGCAAACCTTTGTTTACAAGTAATGTGATTGCATTTCATGTGCCTGTCAAAAGTTTCCTTCTAAATCTTAGACTACTTATGGAAATAGTCGTAAACTAACTTTAAAAGTAATTCCACTGAAGTCCTTTTCCATGCAAAAAATACTATGTCTTTTCAATATAGTTATAACGAGTTTACACTGTATTTTCCATCAAAAAAAATGAAACCACACTTGTGTCTCGCACAAGCAAAAATTTTTATAAAACAAAAGCCCTTACACTAATGGCAAACCCCAGTCGGAAGGTGAATTTCATAAATAATATTTCTTTGCAATAGAGATAGGTATTATATAAATACATATTGTAATTTGACATGAATGCATATTATGAGCTTCCACAATAGGTGGTATTGGATGCGCTAAGATGGGATAAACCACGTGCGAAACAGCACGATCACACGAAACACTGCGGACGCCGATATTTTGTATCTTCAATCCGATTGAGAGACGAACGTAGCTTGTATGGTGCGGGACGGTCATGCGGAAGAGGCGCGGGCGGGCGGGAAATACGTGGTACTGAGCTATGCACACAAATACAGACTATTCATATTCACTCACATATTGATATAGGTAACGCCACGAGTCATGCCATCGCAGAACCGGAAAATAGGTGTCGGCACGGTGAGGTGTGAGGTACGGGGAAGCGAAACCATAGCAACGGGCGACGCGCTACTCCCAAGTAGTTTCTTCCTGCGTCCCGTCGCCCGCGCACCTTCTTGTGTCGTCTTGTGTACTATCGATATCAAAAGTGTTAGCGATTACCTGTTATAAAATTTTAAATTTTTGCGATTATTTTTGTACTTTTAAAAATATTGTTCTATAATATTTTCAAATAGTGTGCAAATATTTATTACTTTATAAATAATTTTGGGACTATTTAAAATAGCATAGTTCGTAGGATATTGTATAAAGTTGTAAATATTTTGTTATTTTCTACAAGATGATTTTTTTTTGCAAATTATTGCATGTAAAATATCCTTATAATCGAAGGCTATCGCATAGTAAAATACGAAAATACAAATACAAAATATTTTATTTCTTTAACTAAGTGTACATAAAATGCAGAATATTATTTAGAAGTAGCTATCGTTCAGTTTTCGTGGAGACTTGATGTGTAGTTATAATGTTGACCTTTGACTTTTTAAATATTAAAATGCCATAATAAAATTTTCATTTTTCATGTTTGATTGTACATGCGCAGTGGACTCTATTTAATTTCATCTTTTTCTTTGCGCCCGAAGCAATTTAAGGGCTACCCTATACGTAGGGAGGCGGAAAATGCACTACGCATACCACGATAGCCGGTCTATCGTGGTTATGAGGGACTCACATCCTACCGGGGAACCTAAGTGATACCCTCTAAAAACCGCCTTTAGGGACTGGCAACTGGCTGATTAAGCTTTATTGTGCCGTATCGTGAGCGACTCTCTTTTGGGAAAAGAGGGTGCAGAATTTCATCTTACGTGGCACGACCTATATATACCTCGGTTGCTCGGGCGTTGAGCGACGGCAATAGTTTTTTCAAATACCTATTTCTCAATTCCCGCGCAGACCGACTACGCTCTTAATACATCAAAATATTGTGAAATTTTTATTTATTTTAGGTTATTATTGCTTTGACTGTTGAAATGCGATTGTTGAATTCTAGTGTTTCTTAACTTTTACTTAATATAAAAGGAAGACGATATTTTTTTTAATTTGAGTTTCTGGTAATCATTATCATCATTACAGCCCTTCACAAGTCCACGGCTGAACATAGGCCTCCCCCAAGTAATGCCACAAAGCACGGTCCTGAGCCACCTGCATCCATCGACTTCCTGCATGTCTTACCAGGTCGTCACTCCATCTAGTGGGGGGTCGCCCTACACTACGCCTACCGGTACGAGGCTGCCACTCGAGAACTTTTCTTCCCCATCGGTTATCGGTTCTTCGAGCTATATGGCCGGCCCATTGCCACTTCAGCTTACTAATCCGTTGGGCTATGTCGGTCACTCTGGTTTTACTGCGGATATCCTCATTTCTGAGTCTATCACGCAGAGAAACTCCGAGCATAGCCCTCTCCATAGCTCGCTGAGCGACCTTAAGCGTCCTCATACGGCCAGCAGTGAAGGTCCACGTCTCAGATCCGTAAGTCATCACTGGCAACACGCACTGGTTGTACAATCTAGTTTTTAGAGATTGAGGTATACCTGACGAAAAGATATGCCGTAATTTCCCGAACGCTGCCCAGCCGAGTTGAATCCGTCGATTGACCTCTCGGTCGAAGTTGGACTTACCTAGTCGGACTATTTGTCCCAGGTAAACGTATTCGTCAGCAACTTCGAGCATAGTGCTCCCAACAACTACCGGCATAGGTGTGACATGGACATTGAACATGATCTTTGTTTTGTCCATGTTCATCTTAAGACCTATTCGTTGGGAGGCACTATTGAGGTCATTGAGCATAGTGCTTAAGTCCTCCAGCGATTCTGCCATAAGGACTATATCGTCGGCAAATCGAAGGTGAGTGATGTACTCGCCATTGATGTCAATACCGTATCCTTTCCAGTCCAGTAGCTTGAAAACGTCTTCCAATGCAGCGGTGAAGAGTTTCGGGGATATAACGTCACCCTGTCTTACACCTCTCTGCAGTTGGATAGGTTTCGAGCTCTGGTTCTGTACTCGGATAGCCATCGTAGCCCTACTGTACAAACACTTCAGTACTTCGATATACCGACAGTCAACTTGGCACCGCTGAAGGGACTGTAGCACCGCCCAAATTTCGACGGAATCAAAGGCTTTCTCATAGTCCACATACGCCAGGCAAAGTGGCAGATTGTACTCTTCAGTCTTCTGTACAATCTGCCGCAGGGTATGTATGTGGTCTATGGTACTGAAGCCTTTTCGGAAACCGGCTTGTTCGGGAGGCTGGAAGTCGTCAAGTCTGCGTGCGAGACGATTCGTAATGACTCTCGAAAACAGCACGTAGACGCGGCTCAGAAGGGAAATCGGTCTGTAGTTCTTTAAGAGAGCGTTGTCGCCTTTCTTAAAGAACAAGACCACCGCACTTCTGCTCCACGCCTCTGGAGTAGTGCCACCATGGAGGACGGAATTGAAGAGCTTCTGAAGGACTTCAAGTACCGGTGTTCCACCCGCTTTCAGAAGCTCCGCTGTAATTCCATCCTCGCCTGGGGCCCTGCCGTTTTTAAGGTGCTGGAGAGCCATTCTAATCTCGCTTAGACTGACGTCCGGGATATCATCGGAATAGTGTCGGATAAGACTTGCTCTTGGATCGTTACTCACACTTGCGTGTGGCTCCAACGATGATGTGTACAGCTGCCCATAGAACCTCTCAATCTCACTCAAAATCTCAGGTGTCCCGGAAACGATGTTGCCACACTCAGTCTTCAGCCTTGACAGTTGGCTCTTTCTGGCAGACAGATCTCTGGCAAAGACTTTGGAGCCCTGGTTCCGCTCGATCGCTTCTTTAATACGAGAAGTATTAAAGTTGCGTAAGTCTCGCCGTATGCATTGATTTTCTGGTAAACTTTCGAAAAAATGAAAAATACTAGATACCTAATGTTTAATAGCCAACCAGACAACGCTAAGCAACGGTAAACCGGCAGGCAAACCAATTTTGCCTACCTTCTCTCGTACGAGAGGCTTACTCCAGAGGCTTATGTCAGACTGTTTACGAGCTGATAAAGAAGAAGATGAATACTATTGTATATATTCTTCCTGCTTTTCAACCGAATTCAAAAATGAGAAGATTTTAAATTCGACAGTGTTTATCTTGTGTGCTAGAACTTTTTTCCGGGTAAACCGATTTTGACTATTCTTTTTTTCGCGCGTGGTCCCTTATTAATTTGATCAAGATTTGAGCAGTACTTTTTGAGTTATCTTTAATAATGCGTATTTAATTGACTTCGAATGCATTGATTCGGTCGTATTGAAGTTGGTTGTACAAATGTTTTATTTTTAAAACTTGTTAAAACTAAGCTTCTGTTTATCCAGCCTCTCATATTGCCCATTATTAATTATGTGCTATCTAGATCTATCTTAATATCTTCTCTATCAGTAGGAGTGCCCTCTTAACAATTACATCAGATACACTTTCGGTTTATGTTAGAATGACCATATATATACTGAGTATCGTTTTAAGCTTACATGGCTTTTTATTCTTCAAAGGCTTTACCCCAAAATTTTAATACAAGTACTATTTGAAATGTGACTTATTCCTCTTATCTTAAGTTTAATTTTTAGTGTTTTTATTCTACTCACTTGGAATGCGGTGAAATATTTGGACAGATTTCATGTCGGGGCAAGTTAATTTGTTAGAAAAGTGTAGAGATTAGTATTTCTTTCTGAAATAATAGTTATATTTTATATTAATTACATTAGAAATAGATATGGATAAACCAAACCGGATATTCCTAAAAGTAAAAGTATTAAAAAAAGTTTAAAATGTTGAAAATAATTGAATAACACAGCACTGAGGTATAGCTTAGTGTATATCAATATACTATAAATCCAAAAACGTATTCAAAACGCAACTTACTAACAGTACGTTTGCACTGGGAAACATCCAACACGTAATGTCGAAACATTACAAATCGCATAAAATAAATCACACAACATGTTTTGTAGATGGTAGCGTTCGCACTCACAAAAACTGTGTAAAATTTTTAGCAGGTATTCAAACATGACAATATTTCTACTTTGTTCTCAAACATTTTGTTTCTTTAGTTATAAAGATATAATATAGTTAAAATATCTAATGTACAATAAACTGTCAAACATATTTTACTAGCACATGTTCTTTGACTATGTAAACGCTTTTTGATACATTAACAGAAAACAGTGTTTAAAACATGTTTTTTTGTGAAAATCGCGTCAGTGCAAAGTCACGGTAATGATGATATTGTGTGACCATTTCTGTGTTATATAACTCCCAAATAGTAATATCTGGAGAGAGTAAGATTATTAGCCTTCAACTGACATCGAGTTATGTGACTAAGGCTGTTTATAAATTAAATAAATTTTGTATGTTCGCAGGTGGTACCGTTATACATGGCGTTGCTGCAATCGTGCTCGAACCCGGAGACATTGGAGGCAGCGGCGGGCGCGCTGCAAAACTTAGCGGCCTGCTACTGGCAGCCCTCCATAGATATACGGGCCGCCGTGCGCAAGGAGAAAGGTTCGATTCCATTACCAGCATTATGTAGAATTTAACGTTTATTATTTTTAGTGTTCCGTGCAAAATCGACAAAAAGATACTTTCGTATGTGCTTTGGCAATCAGTTTTATCCATAGAATACTTTAATACATACATAATAAAACGGGGGAGTGGGCGGAGCCCGCATAGCCACTAAAATGTATCCATTACGTCAATTCACACGTATAAATGCAACACGAGATGTGTTTTGACGTTACAATCGTTTCCAAATTTCGCATGTAAATTATTTAGAAAATGCCAAATTGCACCCTATTTACAAATAAATATGTATTCAAATTTAAACGATTTTTTTAATGATGGCCTTGAACATTAATTAAAAGTCTAAAATGTTTAAATTTATTCAGTCTGTCAACACAGCGAATCGGGTTTGGCAACGCCAAACCTCGTACAAAGTAAAGTTGACAGCCATTCTATTGTGTATTATAGTATTATTTGAAATACCTGCGGCGACCGGGCTTCACACGTATATCATAATATCTTAGTACATTATAGTCAGTATAGGATTACTCGGTAAAATATTATCTAAATACAAAATTCCATCCAAATCGTTAGAGTAGCCGTACCCAAAAAATCCATGCGAGGTATTTGCTTACGGCAGTGGCGTAGCATGGGTAGCTCCTGTCCGGTGTCGTTAATGACAAAATTAAAATTGACAGCTCCGTGGCGCAGTGGCTTATCAATGAGTTATAGCGCTAAGGGTTAAAAACCCGTGGGGTTCGAATCCCGCACGGAACAAATGTTTGTATGGCCTACAATTAATTGTTCCGCGTCTGGGGATGTATGTCCTTGTAAAATTTATGTTTGTAAACTGCCCCCACGATACAGGAGAAAATCCTAGTGTGGAGGTAAAGTTTAAAAAAAATTATATAAAAATTTAGTCGGCCGTCGTTTAGCTGCCACGGCTCTGTATACAATATATCCTATATTACATTATATACAGCACTGATGCGATGGTCACAGGGATACTAAGTCATATTTATCGATGTCACAGTTAGCCTGGCTACCTTTAGCTTTTGTATATTAATTTTTGGTCCGATCTACGCAGAACGAGCTTACATTATGTTGAAGTCTTGCAGTATGTTTAGAGAAGTATTGAGAGAAATTAGTTTCATAACATAAAACACTCACGCTTGTCACCCACAGGGGTAGGTAGAGACTACAGTCTTCCTTTTGGCACGATCCTCACACACCTCTCTTGCCTCCTCCACATCCATATAATAGTTTGGCCCGTTTTCAATATATCGCCAATTTGGTCGACAACTCTGCCGTTCACTTCTGCAACATAAATTTTCTTTGTCACTCCTCATTCATTCTTTCCATATGACCAAACCTCCGAAGCATTGCTTTCTTAACCCTGGTCACAACATCATCTTGCAAACCACACTCTTCTCTTATCACACAATATCTCACCCTGTCATTCAGATTCAGCCCTAACATAGTCCTTAACGACCGCATTTCTGCTGTGTTTATTTTACTTTCGTGCTTCTTCTGCCATACCCAACTTTCACTACCATACGTAGGGGCCAACACAGTATTGTGAATTTCCATACGTGCTTTTTTTGTCACATTCTGACTTTTCACAATAGAGTGTAGAGCCCCATTTACTCTATTTCCTGCGTTCACTCGTCGTTCTATATCCTTATCACATATCCCATCCCTGCTAAATACGCAACACAAATATACAAACTCATCTACTTGCTCGATCAACTCCACTTCTATTCTTATTTCATATATCGTTTTAATTTCTTCTCTTTCAAAAACCATAAATTTCGTCTTACTTGCGTTCACTTTCATACCCCTTTCGTTTAAAGGTCTGTTCATTAATGTAACCATCATTTGCAACTCGGCCGCCAACGACGCAAAAATAACTTGATCATCGGCGTACAAAAGACATTTGACGCTTAACTCAACCATTCTTAGTCCGCATTCTTCAACTTTCAAATTTTACAAATAACTGTTTTCACTTAATGTGTATTATTCGCTTAAATATAACAAATCATTACATTAATCTTAACTGTTTGTTATAGGTTTACCAATCTTAGTAGAGCTACTGCGAATGGAAGTCGATCGGGTGGTTTGCGCAGTAGCCACAGCGCTCCGGAACCTGGCCATAGATCAACGCAATAAGGAGTTGATCGGCAAATATGCTATGAGGGACCTCGTACAAAAACTTCCCAGCGGGAATCAGCAGCATGATCAGGTCAGTTTTTAACATTGTAATGGAGACGTAATCCCGAATCAATAAACTGAAGTGGTAATAGGCGGACCATATAATTGGAAGAACCGACAACCGATACGGAAGAAAGATTCTCGAGAGACAGCCAGTAAGAAAAGTGTGGCGTATGTGGTGTAGTGGGCGGACTTTACCGTCACAAAATGGATGGATGAATGAAAACCTTGTCCTTGCAAGATCTGTGACCGTGGGAAGATAAGGGAAGATCTCCCGCCGGGCTAGGTGTTCAACCGGGGGAGCGGTCAACGCTCCGTGTGATAATTCGGAACGATATATATACTGTTTTTACTTCGGAACTTTGATAGCGTGATTTAGGTTTCGATGAGTTTCGCTTGTGGCGCGACGACAGCGCCGCCACAGATCTATGGATGCAGATGAGTCAGGATCCTGATTTCCGGTATACCTTGAGGTAGGCCTATGTTCAGCAGTAGACTTGTGAAAGACTAATAATAATGATGATGATGATGAGGGAGATGAATAGCCATTTCGCCGGTTCTAGCGCCATATGAGTTGTTCCTCTTTATCTCTACTAGGAAAGCGCGTAGAGCTGTTGGTGCTGCCCTGATCTCTCTCTTCTTATGTCTGATTGTCTTACTATCTGACTATGAGACTAAAGGAATAAAAAGTGCGTTTGTGTTCGCGCATATACTCCGGCACTATAATTCTGTCGTGCGCAGTTGGCTAGTACCGCCTTTACCAGAAGGGCACACGGGGCCCGTGCCCAGGGTATCGTTACGGGGGCCCTCGTGACATGTCATCAGCCTTATTTGTAAATGTGGGCGTTTTTAGTGACTTTTTAGAAACCCTGAGCAGTGACAAGCCACACATTGCCGAGTTAGTCAGAAAAAGTGGCATTGACAGATTTACTAGGTAGAAAATATGTAGTTCCGCGTTTCGCCACCATCTAAACGTTTTTGTCGGGCTGTACAGTCGCCTTACTTATAACCTGATTTTTTTTTTAAATTTCGGCAATCTATTATATATATATATATATATAATCTATGAGATAAAAATATAATTTCGTAATGTTTAATAAAAATAACACTTCAAAATCTTTAACGACAAATGATTTAATTAATATTATAATTTTCTTTATCATATTAATTAAATCATTTGTCTTTGTATTAGCTTTTATAGCAAATAATAATTGTTACGATCCTTATTATTAGACAAGTGAGGCTAAAATTTTAATGTAAGAAAATAAATTGAATACATACATTGATGTTGTTAAAGAATGTGTTTATTTTTTTTTTGAAGGAAAGTTTAGGAAAGAAACATTAAAGTTTACATTTTCCTAAGAAATTATCGTCCCCGCTATGAATTCTGTCAAATATTTTACCTCATTGTAAAGTGGCGCCTGGTGGCAGAAAAAATCGTGAATGCCCTCAAAAATTACATATTATTTGATTTTTACTTGCTAACAGGGCCCCAAATTCTAGTGTGCCCAAGGGCCCCGGTATGGCCTAAGACGGCGTTGCAGATGGCTAGTCTGTATTGAGACTGGCCACAGTGACTGAAATTCGGTCTGGAGGGACTCTATTTACTAAATTTTTTAGGGTACGTCGGATGATACGATAGCGGCCGTGCTGGCAACACTGAACGAGGTGATCAAGAAAAGCGGAGAATTTTCGCGTTCTTTGCTCGAAGCTGGCGGGGTAGAGCGTTTGTTAAATCTTACGAAGCAACGTCATCGTCATACGCCGAGGGTGCTTAAGTTTGCTGGTAAGTAATTAAATAACTCGAAAATACTCACATGGTTACTGCTCAGTATAATTAACTCCCGTCTAGTTTTGGACACATTGTGACTGATGAATATTAAAAATCAAAATGAGAAATTATGTAGAGTTGACTTTTCAAGAAATATCAAACCATTATCGAAAATTTCATATTAAAATATTGCCAAGATTAGTAATAATTAGCATTTTTAAAATTAAAAATAAATAAATAAATAAAGAGCAAACCACTGACACATTGTTTTTTATGTACTTATCTTTAATCTAGCACTATATGCGTTTGGACGTCGAGTTACGGAAACCAGCCCGAGATAATCTTATATAATGATTTTTTTTATATATAGAATGCGGATTAAGAATGGGTGAGTTAACCGTCAAATGCCTTTTGTACGCCGATCATCAAGTTATTCTTGCGTCGTCGGCGGCCGAGTTGCAAATGATGGTTACATTAATGAACAGATTAAAAGAAAGGGGTATGAAGGTGAACGCAAGTAAGACGAAGGTTATGGTTTTTGAAAGAGAAGAAAGTAAAACGATTTGTGAAATAAGAATAGAAGGGGAGTTGATCGAGCAAGTAGATGAGTTTGTATATTTGGGCTGCGTATTTAGCAGGGACGGGAGATATGATAACGATATAGAACGACGAGTGAATGCGGGAAATAGAGTAAATGGGGTCCTGCACTCTATTGTGAAAAGTCAGAATGTGACAAAAAAAGCAAGTATGGCAATTCACAATACTGTGTTGGCCCCTACGTATGGTAGTGAAAGTTGGGTATGGCAGAAGAAGCACGAAAGTAGAATAAACGCAGTAGAAATGCGGTCTTTAAGAAGTATGTTAGGGCTGAATCTGAATGACAGGGTGAGATATTGTGTGATAAGAGAAGAGTGTGGTTTGCAAGATGATGTTGTGACCAGGATTAAGAAAGGAATGCTTCGGTGGTTTGGTCATGTGGAAAGAATGAATGAGGAAAGAGTGACAAAGAAAATTTATGTTGCAGAAGTGAATGGCAGAGTCGGAAAGGGACGTCCTAGGCGAAAATTTATCGACCAAATTGGCGATTTATTGAAAACGGGCCAAATTAGGAGTACCCTTAACCGACGACCATGTATGCGTAGGTGTATGGATGTGAAGGAGGCGAGAGAGGTGTGTCAGGATCGTGCCAAATGGAAGTCTGTAGTCTTTGCCTACCCCTCTGGGTGACAGGCGTGAGTGTTTATGTATGTATTTATGATTTTTTTTAAATAACTTAAGAATTCTTGTGTCTTAATTCAAAATCTGGTTTATTTTACAGGTCAAGTTTTAATGACAATGTGGTCGCACGCGGAACTTCGCGAAGTGTACCGCAAGCACGGATGGCGCGAAGCAGACTTCCTTACTCCAGCCAGAGCGGCGCAACCTCGCGGCTCTTCCAACAGCAGCGGTAAGTAGCAACGTTGCTTGAACTGTCGATTTGTAAAGGAGTTTCGGTATTTCCTTCCACTTTGTCTATGTTTTGCGTATTTTAATGATTTTATTAGAATTGATGTTTTAAAAGCTTATTCAATCAATTAATGCTTATTTGACTTCATTGAGCTATTATGTACTTCGTACTAGAAGCGACACTGCATTCAGCTACTCTGTTTCACTCAACTGCGGTGCATACACCGCACTTTAATCAGTCACTCGCTAGGCGCTTATAGAGTTGCCACGTGTTGTGTTGATTTAAAAAAATCTCTTGATAAAAATATGCCGGCGTGTGTACTTAGATATTGTACAAATAATTCAAGAAATGTCAGTAAAAACCAAGGTATTACTTTTCATCGGTTAATAAGATACTTAATCAATAAAAAGATTATAGATTAATATTAAAACAAATTATTCCTAAGACGCCATCTCGTGTCATGGAATATAGATTATGAAATTAATTTGTTCAGATGCGATAGTTCTGTGGGGTCACTTATGTATGGGACGAATATATTAATAAACACATTTTTTTTGTAGAAATATATACAGGTTATCATAATTAGGCTAATTTTTTTTATATTTAAATCTGCTTATTATTCTTTTATTTTATTTGTAGGTTTCCAAATCGAAGTCAAATTGGAATAAATTTGTCTATTTTTAACTCTCGCGTGCCCAGAATTTATGAACGACTCTTATTCAAATTTAAATAAATATATTTGTATTGATTAAAACTATTTTTTTACGGATTTTATCGCGTTTATTTTACTATTATTTTTAATTCCCGACGTTTCGGGCGCTTTCCAGCACCCATGGTCACGGGGGACTGAGATGACTGACGTCCCGATGTCATTGTTAAACCCGCAGTACCTTCAGCTTTTTTCATTGTTGTTTATGGTTCGATCTATGCAAATTGAACTGACTATGTCCTGAGGTCTTGCAGTGGTATGCTTGGGTTTAGTTTAAATTTTATTGATTATAGGATCCCAAGCAGGTGGTAGTACCCAGCCTCCTTCTCTATTGAAATTAGGATGTTTTTTAATTTCAATAGCCTCACGTATCATCCTTGGTAGGAATCGGTGTTCTTTCGCGAGGATTTGTGGTCTATCAAATCTGATGTAATGGTTGGGGCCGTCTAGGATATGATCGCAAACTGCAGACTTCCCGGAACGTTGATGCTTCACATCAGCTATATGTTCTTTTACGCGGGTTCTAATTGATCTTTTTGTTTGTCCTATATAAGAGAGACCACATTCACAATCAAGCTTGTACACTCCTGCATCTTGCAGAGGAATATGACACTTGACTGATGGTAGGAACTGACTAATCTTCTTCGGCGGCTTGTAGAATGTTCTAATAGAAGCTCGCTTCAGGATGTAGCCAATTTTGTCTGTGACACCTCTGACATATGGTAGTACAGCAGGCACACGCTCGACTGTGGCCGGCTTCACTCGGTCACTGTGACGTAGGCGCGGGACCCGAAGCTTGTTGTCGTGCAGAACTTGCTTGACGTGCTGAAGCTCGGCGGCCAGGTGTTTGCTGTCACAGATCCCTCGTGCTCTCTGTAACAAAGATTTGCCCACGGTAGCTAACTGTGAAGGATGGTGGTGGTGGTTAGATTCACCGTTTAAATATCGGTTTGTATGGGTCTTTTTTCTATACACAGTGTGACCAATGGTGTTGTTAGGATTTCGGATGACTAACACATCTAGGAAAGGTAAGGAATTATTTGCCTCTAACTCCATATTAAATTGAATTTTAGAGTTTATGGAATTAAGATGTTCTAAAAATGCAGTTACTTTGTCTGATGGTAAAATTGTGAAAGTATCGTCTACGTACCGCTTGTAGATCCTTGGTTTAACAGGTGCAGTTAGGAGGGCTTTCTCCTCAAAGTCTTCTATGAATATATCGGCGACAATGGGAGATACAGGTGAGCCCATCGCAACACCATCTACTTGCTTGTAAAACTCTTCCTTCCACAATAGATAGCCAGATGTAAGGCAATGTCTAAGTAATACTGCATATTCTGCTGGCATATTATTTTCCTCTAGTTTCCTAGTTATAATTGAGATGCAGTCTTCAACAGGTAGGCATGTAAATAGAGACTGAACATCAAAACTGACCATGGTTTCATTGTATTCTTATAGGTCTTTTATCTCACTGACAAAATGGTATGAATCCTTAGTGTGTGCTCTTGTGTGTCCTCTGAGTGGTGATAATATTTTAGCTAAGTATTGAGCCAATCTGTAAGTTGGCGAATCAATCTGACTCACTATTGGACGTAATGGAGCGTTCGGTTTGTGTATTTTTGGTAACCCGTACAACTTCGGTGGTTTGGCACATGAAGGTATTATCGAATTAACGTCCAGGTTCAATTTCTCGGAGTATTTCTTAATTAGATCGCTAGTTGTTTTAAGCGTATTAGTTGTAGGGTCTGTTTTGACCTTTCGGTATGTAGTTATGTAAGTAACAAAAGTTGTTGTATTTTAAAATTGTAATCTGACGTATCCATTATAACCGTAGCCATTGCCTTTATCTGCGCGGAGAATCGTAAGCTCTGGTTTGTTGCGTAAGTTTTTCAACGCGTTAAACTCATTTTTGGGAAGATTTAATTTCGGCGCTGAACTTCAACGTAACATAGACGAAATGTCTTGACGTATGGCCTCTAAATCTTCATTACCAATGTTATTTTTATATAGACAGTCCTCAATACTACAGATAATGTTCTCATACGGTATTTTTCGCGGTGTTATTGGAAAAAAAAATTAAAACTAAACCCAAGCATACCACTGCAAGACCTCAGGACATAGTCAGTTCAATTTGCATAGATCGGACTATAAACAATAATTAAAAAAAGCTGAAGGTACTCCGGGTTTAACAATGACATCGGGACGTCGGTCATCTCAGTCCTCCGTGACCATGGGTGCTGGAAAGCGCCCGAAACGTCGGGAATTAAAAATAATAGTAAAATAAACGCGATAAAATCAGTAAAAAAATAGTTTTAATCAATGTGTAGTGTTCGCGTAAATATATGAAATCATTATAAATATATTTGTAATATAAATGTTATATTAATAAGTTTTGTTAAACATACATTTAGTATTTTTTTTATATTTGTCATATATACCTTTTAAAATATTCAGATAAAAATATCATTAAAATGTAATTGTGATATAATATTATATATTATTATATTAAATAAGCAAATATAATATATAAGATAAATGACAAAATTTAAAAATTGTTCTCGATATAATTTACCTATTTAACAATACGGTCTACTATTACCTACTGATCACTCTACCTATGTTTATTCTATGATAAAAAAACCAACCGCGCGAACACAGAGTAGCGCACATTTTTGTTCGAAATAGCTGTTCTAGTACGTAAGTACATATTACTTCAATGTTTGACTTTTAAGCCTCGTTTGGTCAGACTTGTACTATATGTGTGTTTGAGCCCTTAAAACTATCGAATGATAATAAAAAAATTATAATCTCATAAAAATATTAACGTTATTTACTTAATGTTACTTATTGTAAGATGTACTGTGTGTGTGCCTTGTACACTGAGATTTAAATACTTGTGAATTTTCATTTTTGGTAAATATATCGATTTCATTACGGCTATAATCAAAGCCAAAAGATCATCGCTTGTCATTTATTTAGTGCAGATCATTAACATCCTATCCATACAGTAAATAAAACTCTTTAACATGTATTGTATACGACTGTACTTGGCTCACCCGTATAATATCATCTGGTGACATACGACGAGTGATCAATACTCACAGCACGCGATTGTACATACCGCATGCACCGCCGTTAACATCATCATTAAGGCGATGTACATTCGCTGATGCACAGTTATAATGGGAATTATGCTGGGCGATTTATATTCCCGCGGTAACCATTACGTGATATTTAAGTGTATATATACACTAATACACAATACACACAATATACACTGTATAAGGCTACCCCGACTTTACAGGTAATAAAATACATCTGCATCTTTTCTAAAAATTATTTCATCTCTTTCACAAGTCTAACTGCTGAACATAGGTGTTTTAAATAATGCGTAACTTATTTGACCTATTACCATTGACCCTTTTTAATGACTCCGGATATGTATATAAATTGATTTAAAAATACAGATGTGCTTTTATTCTTTAGATGACAGTACTGTACCGTACGCAGTTATGTTCATTCGCGTTTGTTTTGTACATATTGGCGATGAATGATTATTAACAAACTATGCACCCGACTGTACATACCGCATGAATCCGCATCCGTTGATATTCCGGCCGCGTGGGCGTGTACATTCGGACGGTGATCGTGATACTCGGTTAAAAATTATACAACACTTATTGCATGCGACTGTACATGCATTACGCTGCCTTTCATCACAAAATAAAGAGACCACAGAAGTAAAGCTCAACATGTATATATGTACTTCACTTTTCAGCGGCCGTAGGTCCAGGGTTTTCAGTTACAATTTACGATAAAAAGTGTGGTGCATGGATGGTGGTTTGATTTAGACGGACTCAAAGGCAAATATTTATTCATGATTGGCTTTTACAAAGTACTTTTTAAAAATCAAACGTTACGCCATCGCTACAAGTCCCTACTGCGGGGAAACCTTGTGAAAAGAAGGGGCAGAAGCTCATAAATTACAAATAAAATTTGTGTTTATTTACTTGTTATGAATCTTAGTATACTGTTACGAGCTTGGGGTTCGTGACAATAAAAACTGCCGATTAAATTACCAAAATTGACACTTTAATTACCGAACACCAATTATAACTTAAAACACACTAATAATAAAACATAATTGTACTACTGACCACTTTAGTTCGCAGTTATATCGCTTCGAAGTATTCGCTTAAATTGCCAGTTCAATATTAACCCGGGTCGTGGTCGATACCGGCCTTATATAGGGCCTCTTGCACTAAAACATCCAGAATTTTCGAGTACATACCGGTCCCGACTGACTAGGTGTAGAAAGTTCTAGCATGGAAATCTCTAGAATGATCTTGACTCTCCTAGTTCTGTTACTCCATACTAGAGGGCGCTAGTGGCAACTAATGTCTCCATGTACCAGGCATTAATTATGGCGCGCAACAATACTATAATACAACACGACACGAAAATAAGAAAAATAATTAAGCGTGACCTGGTTTTTGTTTCGTTCTTCTGTTTTGTAATCGTAAAATGATAAAAAATATAAGTATATTATGAAGCTTTACTTTTGTACTCTGTTTATTTTGTGGTTTCATTGCTCGTGTTTGCGGGATGTACATTCGCGCGGTGGTCATGTGATTCAAAAGTATACAACACTGACTGCACGCGACTGTACATGGCGCACGCTGCCTCCCATTAACATTGGTGTGGGCGATGTACACTCGTGCGGTGCATGGTTATGACGCGAGACGGGCGCGGACAGGTCAGGGCACGCCAGCCGGCGGCGGCCCAGCGGCCGGCAACGCGCCGCACTCGCCGAGCAACGCCAACAGCACGCTGAGCCGCCCCATGGCCTCCACCGGCGGCACCCGCTATGAGGATCGCACCATACGCAGGCATCGAGAGGTAACGGGGGGGGGGGGGATTTACGGACATTCCATTGCTTTCCTCATAGTGCCTTCAGCCTTCATGCTGTGCTAATCGTTCGGTTGAGGTGGTTTTGTTATCGTATTTGATATGAAAGGAATCCTTAGTGCCTTCACCAATAGGGTAGTTGACGTGATTATTAATAAATTAATACATAATATTATATTGATTAAAACTATTTACTGATTTTATCGCGTTTAATTATACTTTTCATTATTTTCATTTTTAATTCCCGACGTTTCGGGTGCTTTCCAGCACCCATGGTCACGGGGGACTGAGGTGACTGACGTCCCGATGTTATTGTTAAACCCGGAGTACCTTCAGCTTTTTTAATTAATGTTTATGGTCCGTTCTCCGATCTCCGAACACCGATTCCTACAAAGGATGATACGTGAGGCTATTGAAATTAAAAAACATCCTAATTTCAATAGAGAAGGAGGCTGGGTACTACCACCTGCTTGAGACCCTATAATCAATAAAATTAAAACTAAACCTAAGCATACCACTGCAAGACCTCAAGACATAATCAGTTCATTTTGCATAGATCGGACCATAAACATTAATTAAAAAAGCTGAAGGTACTCCGGGTTTAACAATAACATCGGGACGTCAGTCACCTCAGTCCCCCGTGACCATGGGTGCTGGAAAGCACCCGAAACGTCGGGAATTATAAATAAAAATAATTAAAAGTATAATTAAACGCGATAAAATCAGTAAAAGTAGTTTTAATCAGCGTGTAGTGTTCGCGTAAATATAAGAAATCATTACATAATATTATAATTTCAATTGGATACTATTAGGGTCTTTAAACATAGGCTTTTTATCTTAGGTTTACTATAAATATTTTTATACGTGGTACAACCTCGCTGTACCTATAATATGCTCGCGCATGAAACACAGCTTAAGGGGTGACAATGCAACTACAATTTGATCTTTAATTGAGGATAAATGCAGGTGTCTATGGGCCACAGTATCCATTTACAATCGGGTAAACTGTGTGTCCGCTTGTAACTCGTATTCTATAAAACCAAGATATTTATTTAACTATAAGAAACCTTGACGTCATTTACTGGTATATCAATATTTTTAGGGAGATGTTTTAATTTTTAACAGATAACAATTCACATTAATGTCAACTACCATAGTTGATAAAATTTAGTTAAATTTTCAAATATTAAAGCTTTACTTATGTAAAATAAAAATATATTTTTGTGTGTTGAGTATTTTTTTAAAAATTGGTTTTTATAAGGAGTGATCAATAATTTATGACAGAAATTCCGGAAAAAAAAACTTGCAAAATGTATATTCTCTTCAATATTTTAATTTTGCATTTTCAGAACGATGATATCCCAACAATGGACGTGAACAATTATCAGGATGGCTTAGGCATGGGTAATCCTAACGGGCGGCCGATGAACCTACAAGGCGTTCAGGCTCAAATGCCAATGCCGCCTAGCAGTCGTTAGCCGATATAAATGAACCGTGGGCCTCGACTCAGCATTTGACTTCGTGGGAACAACTTACAGACTTCTGTTTAAAGTTTTGTTATCAGTGTATACTGTGAAGGCAGTGATCATTTTTCTCTTGGAATTGTTATTCCCGTAACATTATTTCATCTATAGACAAACGCTTATATATCTAACAGTAATTTATATAACAATTATTTTAAAGAGATGATCAAATAACAACGATTATTGACTATTATACTCAATTTAAAACCTTAAAAACAAAGAACTTTAAGAGCGCGTACAAAGCTCCGAAGCAATTGTGACTGATTGGCAATCGGCGAAATATTGCATGAATAGTGTTCGAATGAGATGGACAGTGTCTTTCCATAAGAGAAACCCTGTAGGTGAATATAATATTAGATACTCTGTGCTCTACGAACTGAATTGCACTTTATTGCGTCGTCCTAAATATCGCTATTTCTATCATAATTTTATTCTTGTGTCACTCCTATTAAATTGTTTATTACATTGCCATAAATAAAAATAGAAGAATTTTAAGCGCTGTTATGGTTGACATCGTGTTATTGGTATAATTGAAGAAGTTAAAATAAAAGGAAAAAATGTATTTTAATTTATCTTTATAATTCTTTCTAACAGTCGAAGTTCTGTATATGTTGGTAACCGTTTGTCTACCAATGATGATTTTTGCCTGTTGCTTTAAGTTTTTAGTTAGATCCACGAAGTCAATATAGATATAATATTTACTAATTAGGTGGGAGTTCTTGCAAGGTGTCAAATGCATATAACATCGACTTGTTTTCATTGGTCAACAAAAATATCGAATGGCGTACAATATTTGATATTATAATGATACTGTCGTTTTGTATGACTGTACGCTAAGTTTTTTTTTCTAAATAGGCCTATCAACTAAGAAAATATTTACCGAATTTGCTACTCCCTATCGCACAATGCTCATATTATACATTTATATCTCGCATAGATCATCTTAATGTAGTGTTTCTTTGTAAAAATAAAATAAAGTCAATTCCCTATGTATATAGTCGTGCCATTCTTGTATTATTAACGTATTTAAAAAGGGGTTTCATGTAGATGTTGTGTACTAAATTTAATTATTCGAGATTCACCAAATTGACTGGAAAATATAAGGAATTTCCATTATTTCAAATTTATGTCATGTAACACTACAAGGATGACACATTATAGTCCCATTCTAATGTTTAAAACTCATTACATTTCTTATATTCAGGATTTGAATATTTGTTATTATTTATGAATAGTTAGTCTAGTAGTACGCTGTCCTATTCGAGCGCAAATCGCCAGCAATATTAAAACGATTTCCAGAATAGGGCTGTATAGGTTATTATGACGATATGATATACAACTTTGTAATATTTTGTATTCATTCCACGACCCTCTATGAATTAATTGTAATATAGGTGTCTATGGTCCTCTGATAAGTCTTAAGGAATATCCGTCTTATGTATATAGAAATAAGATTCATTAAACCAAACACATTTGTGTGGGCTTTATATGGTTTTTGTATGTATTTTCCTCGTTTTGTCTGTAAACAGGTCACCGCCTTGTACGTATTTGAGTGATCAATAAAGAATGAGATATTTGACAGTTGATAGTACATTTAATAATAAAAATATTCAGCAAGGTGTGTAACTTTCGGAACTTTTTCATCCTTAAATGCGGTATCAACGAATAAATAAAAAAAAACCTAATTATAAATAATTTTAACAATGCACTTCGGATATCTACCTTGAAGATTATTGTGTATTTATTGATCATACACTATAATAGTCAAGAAAGATGTTCGGAAGCAAGGAATGGGCAAAGTTACTATATATATATATATATATATATATATATATATATATATATATATATATATCGTTAATTAATATGCATTAGTTCCCTGATAGGATACGAAGCTTGAAGACGTTAATATGAATTATTAAAGCTCACGCAGAGAATATTAAATTACTAGTACTGTTCGAATTCCCGTTCTTTAAATGTTACAGGCAGATAAAATGGCGATGCAGACGAGATAGCGTAGGTTTAATAAGCAGTCTGCTTAAAGTATAGAGGTTTAGATGATACAGTGTTACATTTAAAAAAAAAAAAACAATGGCGGAGGAAAATATTTTTTTAAATTACTCGGTATTTTAACCACTATTAATTTCACTAGCCCTATCAGTATTTTGATATGTTACACTAAGAATAGTTAAAAATACCATATTCTAGTAAGATTATTATATGTATTTACTTTTAGTTTAGAGTACCCGGTTGACTGAGCTTTGCTCGGTATTTTTAGCTCGATTTTTTTTAATTCGTGTGTTTTGGAAATTATATTTAGATACAAATTACATACTGATGAAATATAAATAATATTTTTTGATCTTAGCGACATAACAGAAAAAACGGAACTGGTTATTTGAATAAAAAAATCATGAGTGCAATTATTTTAATTTAAATTTTCGTGTTTTTAAAAAATACTAAAAAAAGGGCTCAAGAAATAGATTTTCTCAAAAAAGAACATGAAAAAAAAAATTAAAAAAATTCGGTCGGTCGGTCTGGGCTCGGAACTGGGGTTTTAAGATTCTGTGACCAACCATTACACCAATTAAGCTATTTAGAATCACTAACAATCCGTCAAAATTTACCTTCTTATTCTAACGATATTGTAGCAGTTTTTCATTGCCTAAAAACACGGACAAAAAGACATTTTATAAAAATAAATCCTAGCTAGATCGATTTATTATCCCCGAAACTCCCTGGACAATAAATTTTATGAAAATCGTTGGAGCCGTTTCCGAGATCCCGATTATATATATATATAAATATATATATATATATATATATATATATATAAATATATATATATAAATATATATATATATATATATATATATATATATATATATATATATACAAGAATTGCTCGTTTAATAGTATAGGATATGCAAATTTTGTGTATTTATGTGTAACATTACATCTAAAACAAGTTATTCCAACGCCATTGTTTTCTTTAAACATAACTACTGTGAATTTGCATCGATGAGCAAGAGAAACAAGATTGATTGAGTTGTGAGTGACGGCAGCTTTATGGTTTTATTTTGCTCGATTACCCTCCGTTTGACTTTGTGTTAGTTTTATAGTTAGCGATATAAGTATTTATTTTTTTAACCCATTTAACTTACATCATATATAATTTTAGGTAGGCGGTAAGTGATAAGGGTTTTTATGATGGGATAATATTCTTTTTTGGATATATTTTATGCACAATAAATGCATTTCGATACGTCCGCGTCAGGATGGTGATGTTGACTGAGTAACCTGGTACAAACTACCCTCATCCAGTGCATTATATTGATTTAAGTATGTGTAAGTTTTGTATATTTTTATTATAAAAATGTAAACAAATATTATATTGACAGTTTTGATTACATCATGCTTGCCAGGGCAACGTCGCTTCTATGAAGCGATCTTTTTGATAATATTGTTTTCACAAAATAAATCTGTTTTGATTTAGGTAGGCTTAAGGTATATATTATATTTTTATTTAATTGTTCATTGTCACTATACACTTATAATTTTTGTTATGTAACTAGAAAATGTGCAGGCAGTATAATCAATCATTTTTTATATTCAATAACTTTTTTAAATTATACTCCACGCGTAGTCTTTGTATAGATAAATGTATAAATAATTTTCTTACTTTTCGTCTATTGTACCGATTCTTGTCGTTTACCTTCCATTAAACAGATCTCTTAAAATTTTGAAGTAATTTTTAAGTCATTGTAGTTTCAAGTCTACGGAGATCTTATCTAGTGTTATGCCATGGTTTAAAAATAATATATTAATATCTATGGTTTATCATAGATAATATAGAATTGTTGGAACGGTAATACTCGATTATTTATATTTTATTTAAAATTTTATATTAAGAAAATTATTTAACAAAAGCAGTCTTCGTTTGTCGTTACGACATTATGTAGAAATAATAAAATAGTTTGTCTTATGTCATGTTGTACGTAGATTTTAATAGAAAATAAAATATTCTCTTTTACAAAAAATATATTATATCATACCTTTCACAGAGAATAAATTCAATGATTTTATGTTGTTTTTTTTTGTTTCCTTTATTTATTTGTTCCTTTAATTTAGTTTTTTTTAAATATATTAGAAACATTTTAAATTTACTCAAACAGTGTATTGAGGGCCTATTTTTACAATTCGATAATGAATTGTCACATTGAGATATAGCAATACTGAAATATTAAAAAAAAACATGGATTTGCTTAAAATGTTATAATTATAAGACTCAGTATGGAATTACAAGTTTTTGGAAAATTTTACCATAATTACATTGATACCTACTATTATTAAATCTAATATCGTTTGATGACACGATCATTATTTTAGGACCTACCATGATTGTCCGATTTTCGTTTTTCATTTTAATTTATAATTTAGGACTCCATAAAAGCTTTCACGTGAAGTTTTCTAGTTATTATTTTTTACCAAGTAAATGTAATGGGGTATTAGAAAATGTTAGTTATATTTAGTATAATATTGAATATTGTAGAAAATGTCATTATTCATGGTTAAGGACTATTTCCATAACCTATCGATTTCTAAACGCAAAAACAGTATGAAATTTGAAAGCGGTTTATAACTGATTCGGCGTAAAAATTTAATGGCAGTCGATTAAAATGAAAGTGTTAATTAATAAAGTGAAAATAAATCTACTATCTGTATGAATGCTCACGTTTTATATATTTATCAGTAGTGTCCTTAACGTATTACTAAAATTAATCAGTTATTGAATTTATAGATGTAATAGGCGCGTATATGAAGTTGTATTGAATATTGTAAGTTGCATCTTAGAAAGTGCACGGTTTTATTGGTGATGATGCGTTTTTTTACTATGTACTCATCGTACACTAATTGTTATGGCGGTTGTTCTAAGTGTGGACACCGTGGCGTTA